TCCTCTAAGCACTCCACTAGTCACAGCTAGTTGCACACAGCATCTAGCGCATGCGGACACAACATTGTGCCCTAATGCATTGGGGAAAGGTTACCCTACAACAACTAAGGTGTACGAGCAGACAAACCAGCTATTCTTTTTATACAAGCCGTTCGTTGAACAAGTGTAGTAGAAAGTGGTTAAGCTTAACTTAGCTTGCTATACCTTCTATGCTAAGCGGAAGTGGGTGTGAGATGTGTTGTGAAAGGCTGTATGGTTCAGGGGGCCGTGGAGCTCTGGTACACATATGGCGTGCCAGCCGTAATTTATGTGTCACACGTTTTAGCTAGAATACGCGATGATATGGTGAATCTGACGGTCGGAATGAAATCTCGTATGGAGGCACTTGGGTAGCACAAAAGCCGTGTACAGGTGTAAGCTAGGCTATCAGAATTTATCATGGCAAAGTCAGGGGACAATTAGAATTATACCATCAGGCGACAACTTCAATTTATTGTCGTGTCTCTAAATGGTTGCATATAATTGTATTTGTGTATTATGTTCTAGCTCCAACAAGGCTGCTTTCAGTTTCTAGGTAGAAGTATCTTCGAACCCTCGCCATAATGAAGGTCTCCTAAAGGCTTACTACGTTGTATTTTCTCATAAAAGAACTAAATGTCGTAAAAGCTGATCGAACGCTAACTGTGGCAGAGTCAGTACGTGGTCAAATGCCGCCGCCTCCTCCAGTACACGGGAGCTACTGGTCCTAGCCCCTCAACTGGCTTCGAACCCTGGAGCCAATGAACTCAAGAGACTGCCCAAAAATCGAGTTTTGATTTCTCTCCTTGTGTAATAAGGTCTGTGCTGAGACTATTGAGGCCTTTTAAAACTCGTGAATCACGTTGAATTACACCATGATAGCAAGGGCTGGAGAGAGTTCGCTCTCCCATGTCTCGTTTAGCCGTACGCTTGTGACTTTTTGCCTCTTATCCGTCGCCATTTCAAAGTCAACACTACAGATTGAGGCAGCTGATAATAATCAGGGGAACAGGCCTGTATGGCCAGCGCATGGGGGGCTGGAACATCTTGGCACCGTTGGATCCCTCGGAAAGCAGCCTTTGGATCCTGAGAAAGATACTGTCGACGGGTTTACACTCTATGGTCGATATTCTGCTGGACATGCAGCTACTGAAACAGCTTCCATAACGGGGGCACTACCTCCTTACGGAACATTTCCGCATCCGACTGTTAATATCGGTTTGAGCTCATTAGGGACCCCAGCGGCTACGACGGCGCAGTTTTCCTCTGGGCACAGCCGGCCGGCAGAGGTACTTTATGGTCAAGGGAGGCATTCAGTCGGTGCTCACGGCGAACAGCAGCTCCCGGGGTGGGGTTTGGCCCAGCAGCTGTCTACATCAGCGCCTCAAAGCCTGCCGACTTCACATGCTTGGCCCAACGAAGAGCAGCAGGATAAAAAGGATTCTAGCGGTCCCATTGCATTGTCTGCATTGGGAAACGGCAAGATAGGTGTCCTCTCTTCGGTTTTTGCAGAACCACCTACGACACCTGGATTCCAGAACTACAGGCAATACTTGGGTGGATCTACGGACAAGAGTGATGATAGAAACAAACGAGAGCATTTTATAGGGCCCTTCGGTGAGAGAGGAGGTGACTCTGTCGCACCGCATGAGAATGTAGAAGTCCACCTTGCACGACTCTCTGATGGCTCTCTACCCCTCGGAAAGCGTCCTCTCAAGAGGGCAGGTGACAAACATTCGACCAAGAAAAGACGCGCAGAGCCTTTCAGGGCATGGAGGGGTGCACAGAGCAACAATGTGCTGGTGATCACTCTTGGAGATACAACGTTGTTCCAAGGCCGTACGCTGAATTTTGCATATTCCTAGCGACAGCATCCTTAGTCGAGAGCAGGGTCTTCATTGTAATGTCAACCTCGAAACTTGTCATTTGACAATCTACTGAGTTCATGTTAATGGGTTTCTGATGTGGTGCATGCTCAGTCTGCATAGGAGAAGAAAAATCTAACGATTCACGATTGCCCTGTGGGACCGCCTACCCTGGTGTTGCAACCCTCGCGCTGCACCTCGCGGATGGACCACCTGCAAAGGACGCTAGACGAGGCTCTCATGGGTTTCCTATGCAACCGGCAGTGCTACTTTCAACATCAGTTGGTACAGGTGTTGAAGGGGCTTCTTCAGTTGTACAGAATCTCCTTGAGAGAGCATGGAACGCGCGAGGAAACGAGGATTGTGACAGTCTGAACGGTGGAAATTTTCACTGGGGAATGCAGCCTGTCGAGTACTTCTCAAGGGACACAGCAAGTGAGCACATCACCTCTATCAAATATAGCAACTTTGGAGGAAGTGAAGAACAACAAGCGTTTTTTGTTTGCGTATGTTTTTTGTTGCTGCGTCAGCTCGTGAGGCGTCTGCCCTCATATCAACAGTCGATGTGCTCATTGCAGACAGCGAGCACTCGCGAGGAATTGACCAGGAAACAAAAGTGGTGTACCTTGGTAGTTCTCGTGCTTCGTAAGCATACTCAACACCCTAGGGACCGGCCGAAGCTAGTGTCTCGGCTTAGGCAGCTGACGTATGTAAAAATACTTTGTGTTTGTTCCCCTCTTTTTAATTGTAACAGTAGTTGCTATGCAGGTGACACAGACGTCAGTGTACATTTGCATTCATATGTGCTTGCTGTGCTAGGGAGTATGCTACGATTGCGGCCATGGTGGCATCAGAGCCAAGCAAATTGATCGGTGCTTACCTGACGATCGCGGCAGAGGCAAACAGCACAAGTAGGAAAATCAGGGATCTGAGCAGGAAGCTTCGTGGAGAACCGGTAGTAGAGTTTGTCTTCAGGTGCGTGGCTCGTCGTGATGGTACTCCTTACCGTGGCCATGAGTGGCTGGTATATCATTCTTTGCCCCTTGGAATCTAGGGTATGGATGCAGTCCTTGTTAAGCTCTACTTGTCTCTTTTGAGCAGGCGTGACACTCGGTCAATGAGAGGTGTACGGCTGGACTTTTCCGTAACCCTTGCTGGACCGCACTTTACTGACACTACTGTGCTTCAAGTTCCTGCTGAGATGATGGCAGCTGTTGCAAACGAGATTGCGACTCGCTTAAGGCACGTGGTGGACAAATTTTTGTGGACCGCGTTTGATGAGAGAACCTCGAGCTCGCCAAGGCCTTTGTCTCCCGAGTTGCCGGTCTTGTTCGTCCGGATTCAGCGAGTCAGGCTAGTTCGAGATATGGCTGCGAGCCGTGGACAAGTAGTTGATGTGGAGCTAGCATCCCATACAGGAGACCCGATGGTTGACCTTGGGGTCCCAATTGTACTATATACGTGAGTTTCAGTGGACTTGATTTTACTAGTTTCCTACTTCAGAATAGACATGAACGGCTACAAACTGGCGGCACGAGTTAAGGCTGGTAGCTAATGGAATCAATTTTGTGAACTCTCTGGTCTTCGCAGAACTGCTATTGGGGCAGCTTTCCAAGCCTACCTCTTGGGTCACTTGAAGAGCTCTGGCCTGGCTAACATCATTCGCCAGGTATGCGCTGATGTATAGCTTTTTTTACTTCCCTATTGCATTCCTCCCTCTCTGCCACCACTTCTCCAGTCTGCCAACTGTGTTTTAGTGCACCAATTTTCAAGTTAACATGCCCATTAAAATCTTTTTTGTAATCGAAGCCACGGGAGTTTGGCTGGTTGGTGAGTAGTGTGAGGGGCTTCGCGGGTTGGAAAACCCAGAGAAACGTGCTCTACTAAATCTCTGTCGCATGTTTGCATGCCACAGGCCATTGTAGATGTGCGTTCATTGGGGCCTCTGCACCAGCCTGCATTAGCCGGCCACGTTACAGCCCTTCGTGACGACGTCAGCCGCCTGCATGAGTGGCTAAAACGTGCTGGCCCCGAATGGCCGATTACCACAAACATAGGAAGTTTATTGGGCCTGCTCTTTAAGTCTCATGAGGTGGCATCCGGATTGCAAGGGAAGTGTAACACCGCTGTCGCTTCCCTTGACCTAAGCTTGGATGATCCATTGCTGGGTTTTGCAACAATGTTTTGCCAGCTATATCCGCAGACATATTATCCGTCTTTGGCGGGGAAAGAGGAGTTGGAGTCATACAGTCTACAAGTTGGCCAGACGCTTCGTCGTATACTTTCAGGAAGCAGTGTGCGCGGTGAGTCTCGGGGATTACCAGAACTCTCTCAGGAGTCTTTTGACAGCGATAATAGGACACAGAGTCGACGTCTGGCTGTAGAGGATGAGTCCGGGGGTGACGAGTTCGAAAATTATGGAACTGCTGACGATTCAGAAGAGAATTCTGAGGAATGGAGGTCAGATCCGTCGAATGGACAATCGACTGAGAATCAAGCCAGCCAGTTCGCAGCGCGGCAAGAAGAGCATCAAGACAATTTTGCCGTCGCGGATCATTCACGAAATCCGCATATTTCCGTTTTGTCGGTTATGGCTGACGATGACCTCTATGAATCAGAGAACATCACTTCTACCCCCAGTGATACCATTGTTGAGAATTTACCGGATACCAACGCTCATGTGGCTAGAGAGTCCTCGCAGCAGCATGATGGTAGAAGAACCAGGTCACGGGCAGCCACTTTTGCACAGGATAATTCCACAGGCTACAAGGAGGACACCTCAGGTGCAACTCAAGTGGCACCAGGAAATCCCGTTGAAGGTCTCTCTATTCCTGTTACAAATCCCCAAAAGCTGATGATTCACCAGGAAAGGAAAGGAGGCAGCAGCAAGATAGGGAACGAGGCAGGCGATCAGCGTGCATTCCAGGAGCTTCAGCGTGAATTGGAATTTCAGAGACGAAAACAGCAAGAGCTCTTAGAACGAGTTGAGGCTCAGCTGAAAGAGCAGCGCCTCATCCACAAACAGCAGGAGCAGCTTTTATATATTCAGCAGCAGCAAGGGAAGCCTTCACCTTCCCACCAGGATGAGCATGACAGATTGAAAAAGCGCATCACAGATCAGTCGAATCGAGTAGATATAGCTGATCCAAGTGGCAACGTGCTTAGACGGCACAGCAAGCCCTCGGGCCCTACCAGGAAGCAAGTTTCTCAGACACCACCAGTAACGTTCCCCGGCATCAACGTACCCCAGGAGGGTGATAAAGCAATTGAGCAGTTGATAATGTCTCTGGAGCGAAATGCAAACAAAGAATCGGGTCACATGCAGGCAGTTGGTGATCGTAGCGAGTCTGCAAGGACGAGGCGCACATTAACAGAGCGCTACGGGCCGTTGTTCTTGAACCTTGTTGGATTTTTGTTAAATGATGATATGCTGGAGGATTTGATCTCAGTAGCGAACTGGCATGTGAACCCCAAAGCGTACAGATCTATATGCAGGCAGAGCAAGTTCTCCCTGTTTTATCTCACCAAAAAAGCAGGTCAGTCCTTTTGACTTTTGTTCTCCATGACTGGTGCCCCCTTAGGTGCCGCTGTTGATCTTTCGTTACACATCGCTGAAGAAAGGCAATGGGCAGAGTATGCTTTTCTGGGTACGCCGTGCGGTGTGTCTGTTGTCATTTACTTTTTACGTACAAGTGTACATCGTGTTTTTGCAGAGCATTGCCACCTAGTGGGGAGGCTTTTGAAGTCAAGGCATCAAGGTCACCATGTCAAGCTCATCAGGTATACCAATGTAGGTGACGCGGAGGCGTGGGCGCGCGCTCTGGAAGGCCTCAGAGACTTTCATACACTGTTCCGTGCCAGAATGTAGCGATTGCAACACTAGGAAGAAGAGCTGGAAGTTTCTTGGAGGCCTAGCACGTCCTTCGTGTTGCAGGTAATTCATCATTACAGCTCGAGTATTCCTCCAGGGTGTCTGACGTTGTTGATACAGCTGCTTGAGGATGCTTTTGGATCCAGCTCTACTGTGGAGCTGGTATCTTTGTTGCTGAATTAACTGATAAATTCGAGGCCATTTATTGAGCCCGCTGTAATTGGTACTCCCACTTAAACCCCAAAAGTGGTCAAACGGCACAGTCGAGTGGCCGCGTACTGATGTGGAGACATCTCCCAATTGTATGGACGTGGCCACAGTTGTGCGCAAACACTGCTATTGGTGAGCTGATTGCGCCAAAGAAGCGCACGTGTCCGGAATTGCTCTTTCTTCTCCCTTTCTCCTTTCTAAAGGCGCTTCACGAATGTGCGGTGGGTACGGCACCGAAAAGCTGAGTCACTCGTAGAAACAGAATAAATTGTATCGAGTTCGCGACCTTCAAAATGCCTACATTAAGCCCACGCAGCATAGCCAGCATCAGGGATCATTGTTTTATGAGAAAAGTAACACTATATTCTCCAGATTGTTAAACCATGAAATTGCAGTTTTCCTCACACCATTGAGAGGCTTCTAGTCTCAATGAGTATATAAGTATCTGAGCTCACTTGATATCGCCAGAGAACAAAGGAAAGAGTATGATTACTTTGCGAATACACTTCAACTCAACGTTTCTGGAGCTGCGGGCGTGGATAGAAATCCTTAAAACTGTGTAGGCCAGGTGTAATGCTTGGATTTTTCACTGCGTTCTTACTGAAAGAGACTTCTTGATTTTGTGCAAATCTCCAAGCTAAGTCTGGCTAGTTCCTGTACATAAGCCGCAGTAAACTGCATTTTTGAAAATCTAAGTTGTAAGCCGTACGGTGGAAGGTTCTGACACTGAATGGGAGGCACCCAGGAGCGTGATACCGTTGCTATGGCTACGCTGAAACAGTACGTTTAGGGCAATTATTTAAGACAACAGCAACGAACTATTGACCCAAACAATGAAAGTAGTGCATATACTTCCGTGAAATACTTTTAAAAGGATTATTTGCTCTTTGGAAGCAATAGAGGCCAGTGCCTATCTAAAGCCACCGTCGCTCTGCCGTCTCGGTGACCCCGCCGCCGAACTGCGATAGAGTGATCGTTGATTCGCCCGATTGCCACAAAACGATTTATCAGTGACCTAGAGGATAGGATTAGCTAAAGATGGGGAGGAACCTTTTATTGTAGGAGTCGGAATGCCCCCCTTTTAAAATTTTGCCGAGGTGAGTTTCCACACGTGTGCGAGCGATCCCAAATCGCTCCCATATGGTGCATCTAACTTTTGCCCATTAATAGCATTCGGAACCTGTCTTCCTTAAATTCAAAGAAAGACGATTATCTTATTTTTTCAAGCCGTGAGGCACTTGAAGACGGCAAAGCACATTCCCGGGTGTATTAGCTGGTAGGTCAGGCCATTTGATCAGAAAAGCAGTGCACCAACTTCCGTTGCAGCTGATGGTTGGAACTTATCTGCTCACAGGCAATTTCGAAGCCGGTCAGAAGCACATCACCACAAGGGTCTTGGCTCCACAAACATCCCGTTCAGGCTCAGGGGCGTCCTTCATACGTAGGACAGTGGACAGCTTCATATGCCATGCATGACTGAGCCTGTAGCCGGACGGCTTCCCTCTGTTGGCAATCCTAGTCCGTTACCTCTTATTTTCTGCTATACGGTACGAAATGGCGGCAGGGCGGACAGCCCGAGCGCTGCTGCTCGCCGCCATAGCAGTAGCAGTTGCCTCAGCTGGGCCAGCGGCAGACACTCCTGTGACCCCTCTCTCCCAAGGTACGGGCAGCACGCATACTAGCATGCACACACTTGTATATATACGTCTGAGTAGCATGTACAGGGTTCGCGCTATGAACAACTGCTTGCTGCCAGCAGTTCTATGTTCCTGGTTGTGTAGACTCATCGCCAGCCGAGCTGGAGAACGGCCATTCGCCACAACGCTTTTTCACTGCTGGTCTAGCAGCAATCACCGGAGGCGGCTTTTCTCTAGATCCTGTTGGTGAGACACAGGTCATCAAGCAGGCACTTACTGTCCACGGAAACCGTTTTGACTCTTAACGCTTGCTTCCACCTGTGTCTTGTGGTCCACCGGTGCAGAGCCAAGAGGGTCATTTTTTGCCTCATCAGAATATGAGGCTATATTCCAAGACCTAGTGGACAAGCTACCTATCGATGAAGAAACCTATGACTTCATTATTGTTGGTGGTGGAGCCGCCGGATGCGCTGTTGCTGATGTCCTGTCTCAAAGTTCGTCTCGCTGGTCGTCTTGTGTTTTCGGATTGTGCTCAATAATTGAGCGCCAATTTAGCGTACAGTTTATCCTATGGAGCTTCACTCTGTTTCTACTCACCAGAGACTCGACGGAAACTTTATTCGAAGATGTTTTTCCTCTCAGGCGGAAGGAAAGTCCTTTTGCTTGAGCGTGGGATGGAGCGCTCTCTCGCAACGACGCCAAATGCCATGAGCGCCCGAGGAGCGGGTCAGCACTGGAACTTCTTGAATATACATGCGCAACCTGATGGCTTTTAGTTTGCTTACCTTCTTCACTTTAGTGGACAAGCCCTATCTCAATCAGTGTAACTATACTCTCCATACGATACCGAGTTTGAGATCCGGTTTTGCGTGTTTTGCGTAGGTATTGGCCTTGCCGATGCGACTATCTCCCAAGCAGTTGGAACAGTTCAAGGAGTGAGGACCTTCTCAGGTGCCCTTATGGGTGGTGGAAGTGCAATTAACCTCGGTATCGTAATCGGTGAAACTGAAGAATACTTTAGGGAAATGGCCCGCCAGTTCCCTGGTTACAACATTGACTACACTAGACTGAAAACGGTGAGATTCTTACCTGCTAACAATCATAGGATCATGAATACATTGTTCACACGCGTCGCTCTCCCACGATTCTTATTCCGGATGAATCCCTCCCGATGTAATTTGGAGCGCCGTGTGATATCAATCAGGCTTACGATTACGTTGCGTGGAAACTTGCGAGGGCGATGCCAGTGCTTCCTCCGTTTGGCTTGGCATATAAAAACGCACTAACTGAATCTGGATTCAAAAACTGGGGAGGTGGTGACTATCCAGAACCCAGTCTTATTGTCCGTCCAGGATACCAGTGGGTCGGTTATTCTCTCTTCGACGCTGGAAATAACTTGCAGCGAAACGCCGCCGACGCGCTTATCGAAGCGACCCCAAACCTCACCATCAAAACCAGGCACACCGTCAGGGTCAGTCGTTCTATTGAATTATTCGTTTAATTGACGAGTTACAAGCTTCTCAGCTGGTACGCATGCAGAAAATTTAAGCCACGAGACCAAATTTGTTCACTATTGATCAGCCACTATATGCGCAACCTTTGCTTCCTTGTAGAGCGTGACCTTCGTGGACACGCCCGATGGAAAGGTTGCTAACTGCGTTTTGTATCGGCCTACGAAATATAAAGACATCCGGCCTATTGGAGACTTATGGAGCTTTTTCCCATCGTCTGCAGCAGGTAGGCTGTAGGTGTTCAAAACTTTTTTTGCCAATGGGGTTGTATTGTATTCAGCATGGTGTTCGGATGTGCAACGCAACGCTGTTGTTAACAGACTGGGCTCCGTGGGTTGGGTCATTTCTGGAGCCCACATCGGTGCTTGCTGTTGCCGGTGTTGAGGATCCAAAGAAGAAACTCCGCCGAGTCTGCCTCACGGACCCCGGAACAGGACGAATTGTGCTTAGCGCTGGGGCAGTGCACACTCCCCTGGTGCTCTACCGATCAGGTAATGTGTCCATCATTCAGAGGGCAGCGTAATACCACCACGTCTATTCTCTAAGTTTTGTGCAATATTCTTTGCAGAGTTGCCCTGTCTCGCGTCTTCTATTACAGGTATTGGACCTGCAGCCCAGCTTGGCCTGCTGAAGGTTCCGCAAGTGCTGGACAATCCGGCCGTTGGTTCTTCCTTTTCTGACAGAGTATTTCTTGCCATTCCAGGTTTCTTAAAGCACTATGTTGATGCGATACCTTTGATAAATCCGAGCAAGAATTTACGGCGTCTAGCGGCTGATGAGGAAGGAGAACATCAGAAGCTTACCAAGTTGCGTCTTGTGTCAAAACCAACCTTCGAGCCAATTTTAACAATAGAAGAACTTGAGAAAGTAATTACTCCAGAAACTCGGGAAGCCGTCCTCAAGATCTTGGACAAACCTTTGCCAACCGAGGTGTTCACCATTGATGAAGACGATGAGTCTGTCAGCACGCGGTTCGAGCCTCCCGTTCTACTTCCAGATCTTCTTATGTTTCCAGGGAAGCTGCAGTATCTTGCCCCAGCTCTCCAACCCCGTGTATGCCAATTCATGGGCTTGAAACAGATAGGTCCTCACTGTAGGCCAAACGAGTAAGCTGCTGAAAGGCCATAAAGGGATTTCGCGTATTCATCAGACCTTTTCGTATTTTGATTGCTGTGTTGTAGGCCCCGATGGCCTTATATATATGTGCATGTGCTTTGCAGCATCAACCAGCGCAACTTAGGGTGCTCTTTGGTAGCGATGGAGGAGCTGTCCGGAGACCGAACAGCTGAAGGCTTTATATACGCTTCGCGTTATATGTTCCCAACAATGTTCCGTAAGGATCCAATACTCGATGCTGTAACCGAGATCTTGCAGGCGTGCTCCAATTACCGCGCTCCCTTTGGACTCGTTGTTCTAAAGCCTCTGTGTGTACTTGCTCAACCAGTTGTCAAGTGCCTCAGGTGAGCTGAGCCCTACTATGACGGCTCACCTGTGTCAGTGCACTTATTGTGTACGTCTAATGCAACAAAAATAGCTTTTATAACAGAGTCTTAACTGCTGAGCTGTTTGCTGTGAAGAGTGTGCTACGCAGAAAAGCTGTGGCGCCATTCTACTTCACATCTGAGCCCAAGTCTAGGGGAAGCATCAGGCTGAAGCCCACAGGAGAAGTAGTCGTGGACCCCCAATATCTCGTACATGAGCAAGATCTATTTGATGCAGTCAGAGGTGTTGCGACCTTGGTGGATCAGATAAATGGAGATAGTTACAAGTGCGCCCAGTACCCAATCGATTAGTAGACCGACCACAAAACTGCAATTAGGCGGCATAGATTAGTTGCGCTTTGCTGGCCAAATGGTCGGCTTGCTAGCATCATGATATGGCTTTGACACACCTCTTTGAGTCGATGTACGTAGGGGTATTCTCCAAGCTAAGGGCAGCAAGTCTTGCCCTTTGGTTATCCTCAACGGTCTCCTAGACATACTGCTTACGCTTGCTAGTACAGCCTCTCCGTTCCTGACTCACTCCAAGAATTTCGCTGAGATCCAGAGATATTTGCAAGACTTGATTCCTCCAGAATCAAGACGCCTGCGTCGGCTGGTGGTGGTAGACGAGTCTTACCATATGAAGCCTGCTATTTACGAGGACAGTGAAGGTAACGAATATGAAGATTATAGTGCCTTTGTGGAGGAGAAGGTTGACGAGGCCAAAATAGAAGCACTGGGCGTCAAACGCAGACTAGAAGCGGTCAGCATACTAAGAAATCTTGTTCACATTACCCTTGTTCTACAGGTAAAACCAACAGTGATGCTTTAAGCTGAAAATCATCTGAGCTTTCCTTGCTTCTGGTCCGCCAGGTGGGATTTGATTTTGATTCCTATCGTGCTCACATTAGTGGCACAGATGCTTCAGCAAGGGATTCATCCCCCCATCTCGGCGCCATCAGCCGGCGCCTTGATGCGGCACTGGCAAGCGCTTTAGGACCTCAAAAGATGGAAGAGTTGATGAACGTCGCAAATTCAATTATATCAGAAGAGGCTCTCAAGGCTAACCCGGAAGATCCTGCTCTTAAAAGCGCCATTGAAGACTGCAAGAAATCTTGCTCAAAGGACTCCATAGAAAATCACACATGTGCCCAGACAGACATCTGTTGTGCCGTACATGGCAACTCAAAATGCATTCGAACCCCCGGGCAGCCATCTCTTATCGATCAACAAAACGGAGTGAGGCATTGACAATAGCACTTTGTTACTTCGCTGCTGCGTGTTTGTGTTGTATGCAGTGGATACCCTTGTTAACACAGCCTGCCAGTTCCCGTATGTTTTTCCTGTGCTGGCATGTCCAAAATAATAAAGTATAGTCTGCCCATGGGAAAGCTTAATTAGAGGTTTGTGTGCATAGGACGTGTTCTCGAATGCGGACGCCGCGGAGAATGGAGGCACAGTCAAGACAGAAGAATTCCTTTCACCTCTGTTCGGCCTTACGGCACCTACTTTTGGTCTGCCCGAGAACAAACAGTGGGCTGCAACATTTCCACCGAAGCTTCCCAGTACGATTCATGGAAAAACAACTGCTTGCTATTCACAACTAGGAGTCCCGCACGTCCAAAATAGTGCACCACATTGGAACTCTCCTGCGTGCACGGCTGTGCTGACGGCTAAAAACAAAAAATGAATATGGAGCATAAACGTTTTGGTTTTGTTCAACATATATATCCATCTGCCCACAGGTGTAGGGCGTCACATATGGTGGCATCTGCCATTGTCCGCAGCCAATACGCGTTCTATGGCTTTTTCAATGCAGGTTCCCACAACCCGAAGGCTCTGGCAAAGTTTGCACTTTCTTACATGACAAGTATTGGTCACACATACGGCAGCGCACCAATGGGCAAGGTGGTTGACGATAAATTCCAAGTTATGGGAGTCAACGGCCTCTCCATCGTGGACGGTTCTGTGCTTCCCCAGCTAACAAGAATGAATCCAGTGTACACCATTATGGCATTAGGACGGTGAGTTACATGAATTTTAGCACTGGCTAATTTGCTTTGCTCCTTGACACATTTCCTTCGCGTGGTGCTCTCCTGTCACTGTGCTTATGCAGCTACGCTGGAGAAGTGATGCTTGGGGCAGGGTACGGTTCAACAGTGCGGTACCGGTGAGATATTATGACTTGAATTTCCAGCCCGATCCATCTTGAAAGAATTAACTTTCACTTCGAAGGCACTGGCAAGAAGCCAGATTTCCCAGGGAAAACACCTTCACTCTGCAAAATTGAGGAATATTGCTGGTGCTGCTGTGTAAGCCTCTACGTCTAGTGCAGTGCCTTGTTTTATACATGTTTAAACCTACTGCAACAGCATCAGTACGGCAACTTGTTAAGTACGAGCTGCTTTTGAATTGTAGCTGTTCGGCGATTGCGCATAGAAGTAGCCCGAACGATCCTCCTGCAATTGATTGCTAAAGGCTGCGGAAGTCTGCCAGCTCCCTTTCTTCCTTTCCGTGCGCACAAGCAGCTATTACACTATAGAGCAATGCATTTGGTTGCTTTAGAACCATCACACGTGCCTTTTTTTGGAATTCTGTCGCCTACTATACTGAGTCAGCCAGATCCGCATGCTTTGCCCAATTTTGAGGGCTTGGTTGCTCTACTTGGATTGTGCGGGCTCTGGTCTGGTGGGCGGGTCTTTATTAGTTGCTTCAGTGACTTACGCAATCCATTCTGAGACAAAGGCGCTGCGCGTGCTTGTTAACTGCTGGAATCCAGTTTCCTGAGGGGCTGCAATTCCACACACAGGTGCTCCAACTTGCTTTCTTGCAGAAAAAACGAAGTTATAGGTTTCCTTTTCTGCATCGAGCCACTGTTGTCCAATTGCCAGTGAGCACTGGCCTGAGGCGTTTCATTTTTGTTCAGTCATGTAGTACGGAACTGTGGGACAGGCATATCACGTAGTCGAGTGTGTAGTTGAGTCTAGCTACGGAGCGCCTTAAGAGATATGTCAGAAAGTTGATCTTGATACAGCCTGCACTTGGTAGGAGCGCTTCACTGGGTGTACGGTAACGGGCGCAAAATGTGGATATGGTCTGCTCACAATACGCTACTATAATCTTGACTGTGGTTTCTTGGGACCCTGGTAGACTCATTTTGTCTAACGCAGCTTCCAAGTGCGGCGCTGGTTTGGTACGTACACGATGGCCATCTAAATGCTGTCAGATTGGGGTGGCCCGCCGCGCCGTACCTTCAGATGTCTTTAATGGTTGTAATGCTTCTGTGTAAAAGAGGAACCTTTGGCCTAAACACACGAAAAGGGATTCACAGATGAAAGTATATTTGTCCTGCTGGTGGTTATTGCGTACCCTGACCGGACTACACAGGTGACTGTCAGCTGAAAACGTGCAGTGAAAGGCAGCCATGTAAGTTCTCCAACCTAACAATTTTCGCTATCGTTGGCTTAATGTCCACGCTTCTGTGCAAAGCTTATTTAATGAAAGGCTGCACGTCAATTTTTGATACGGTTACTCGCGACACTTGCCAAGATACCGCGCGTCGCCCCTCCGGGCCCCTCGAAGCAGGCCCTACACCAGAAAGGCCCAAAGGCTTCCCATATTGCATCAGAAAGTCTTTTTACTTCTCAATTTTTTCATGAGATACCGGTCTCAACCAAAGGGGATTTGATGAGTGACAGTGGCAACAACAACGCTCGCATCGCCTCCAATCGTTGAACCTGCAGACCGCCGCCTAGTTTACACCAATGGAACTGCCAACATAAGCCTTCAATCTGAACGAGTGACTGGTGTCTCGTTTAAATCTATTTTTTGCCCCCTCATTTTCCAGCGCTAGGCTCCATCTCCTGGATAGTGGGCTCCACATTGCTGTACTGCGCTGCCGAAATATTAGGCAGGGCAGTTCCCGGGCAACTCTAGCGAAAAAAGAGCAATGGGAAACCGTCCTTCTTACTCCTCCGTCCCGCTCGACGGATACTTAGCGGCCCGAGCATCTATAGAGGCCCGCTTTTCACATGCCGCAGCAAGCCGCCAACGAACCGCATCGCCTTCTGGGTGCTGCGGGACAAGTGAAGACACCTTCCCGACGATGTCTGCTATGGAGCATCACCCGTGTAGTCCTCACCGTGAGCATGCCAAGTTCAGCAGAGAAATGTGCCTCGAACAGCGAGGTGCGGTATCCTCGGGCCTGGTGTTGCCTCCCTCCTTGAGTGTAGCGGAGACAACTGATACTAATTCAGACGGGGCCCCAGATGAGTTCGAGGGGGCGCAAGCAGCAGAAGACATGTTTAGTAGACTGTCTCAGTCATTTACGAGGGTCAAGGCGCCCCATGTTAGGGCGCGGTCGCCGCTGCCTTTTCCGTCCATGGCAAATTGCTCTCCCACGGTGTCTAAAGGAAGTGATGCACAGCAGGCGCCATTGTGTAACAGCAGTATTGCCATCATCAATGAGCGAGACTATACACTCAATTCGGAGAGGTCACCCAATGCAGTCGGTTGCCCCCAGCCCAAGAGGAAACCGCAGCAGCCGGCAGAGGCGCTCATAGCGCCAACAGCTGGACCCCATCAGACAAAGCAATTAGGGACCGAGGCCGGGACCCCTAGTGGGCGCCCCAGCGGGCTGCCCAAAGCGTGCATTAATGAGTCAGATATGTTGTGCCCTCTGTCACCTAATTCAGCCTTGGGTTCTATAAGCCCCCCTGCAGTTGCTTTTAAAGGAGCATCAGCAAAATCCACAGAAACACTTCCGGAGACAGGAGCTCCTGTACAGGGGACATCTAAAAGGTTCTCCGTGTCCTACGGACCTCTGTGCAATCACTCCCCCTTTATGGAGGGCAGGGCCGTGCAAATATTACTTCAGCTGCTCCTTGGGCCGTCCCTTGGAGCCTGCATGGGCGTTTGCGTGCACTGGTTCATGAAGATAAGCGAGTACATACATTCTAAAGTTCACACTAAATTGCAGCTGCAGAGTGTGCCCTTATTAATCATAGAGTCCGAGTACAGGATCACTGAACACCGACCGCTTTCCACGTACAGAGTGCCTCGAATTCAATTCTTTTGATTGTATTATGGTGCTCTTGTTTTTCAGCGCTCTTGCAGATATGTGCGCCCATCTTTCAAAGGACTTAGAGGCGTCTTATGGGAAGTTCCTCTCTCCCGTCAGTGCGACGCTAAAGTTTCTTCCGCTGCAAATAGCGGGAGCAAAAGGCACGAGGCTGGACTGGGTTATAACGGCAAGGGTCAGTTCAGCGTTCCTATCCAGAAGAAACACTTTGTGAATAGGCGTATTATTTACTGTCTGCCATGTATTTGTTTGAATATATGTACGTGATTTTGCAATAGGTCACACACTTAGTTGCGTAATCTGAGCTGCCGTAGAGGGCAAAGCGCATAGAAAAATCCTTTACAACGCTGATGCTATCAATATATGTACATAAATATGATTTAGCAGCCCAAGAAGGGGCAGAATTTATCGATAGCTCATTTAGGTACAGTGCCTACAAAATACCCTGAGAGAGGTGTGGCTGGCTGTTGCGACAACGCAGTCCATGGATTTTGCTGTATCTTGTTCGAACTCATGTGTGGTATGTTTCGCGAAACTCAACTGTTGGATAAGGGAGCTAGATGATTAAGGAACGTAGGTTTGTGTTCCACTATCCATGCAGGTTCTCCCCCCTGCCGCCGATAACGTGTTGTCCTTGGGTTACTGCTTTGAATATCGGAATTCATGGCTTAGCAGTCCCTCATTCCCGACCGATTCAAACGGATCTGAACACGCAGAAGACGTATTTTCTCGCCAGGCTGATTTGATCCCTCTACGCACAACTGGCTTGAGAAGCGAGGAGCAAGGCAGAGAAATTGTTTTACGGCCTTTTAGCCGAGTAAGTCCGCTGGTATAGCTTTTTGGTGCATGTTAATGGCTGTGAATACTTCTGAAGGTGTAGCACTCATGGCGAACTTTGTGTTAAACGCCACTAACGCTGGTGTAGGACTTTTATGAAGTGCACTTTTTTCGACACCTGTGCAGACTGGCGAGTCGCCCAAAGCTGGGTGTAGACGAGAAGTGCCGACGTTTTCAGTGGCAATTGCGCCTGCAGGAAGTAAAAGGCGCGTGTGGCTTCACCGAGACATGTGCCGGTTTCACGGGGATGAAACCGGACAGGCTGCTTTGGCCCCTCTAGGTCCCGTGTGTGTAGGCGATTTTATAGAATTGCCCGTCGTTCTTGCCAATGGGATAGGTATTGCTGACCTTCATACAATCAGGTGGCTTCCTATGCATGTTGCTCCGAGGCTATCAAGGGTCGTTTCCGGGCCAAAGGCACTCGAGGCAGCTGCTCTTGGGTTATACGAAGGGTGTGGCTTGGAGATGCAATATGTGGAGTGGTTCGACGGTGACCAGTACCGTCATATGACGACTGAAAGACTTAAGCGCGCTGGTAAGCTCTGACTGGCTCTTGTGAAATTGGTATTCTCTTTGCATGTGCACTAATTCCTGCGCGAGTTTTGTGCCACCGATGGTCCATTGGTCTGTAAAATTATTGGACACTGCTACATTGCTTCTTTATATTGTCCGCAGAATGCCTAGAACCGGAGCTACACCATATTTCTACATCGTACTCAGGAGTAGACGTGCTTGTGCGCCGTTCGACCTACAACGCTGCACGCGAAGGTGAGTCGTGGAATGTACGTCTACAAGTACCACCAGAATGCCAAAGCACGACTTGTTCATATAAGCCTCCACCTTATTCTGTCTTTTGTCCATTAACAATCGTCAGGCTCGTTGGGGGCCGCAGCTAAGCGCGCATGGGGCTTGCAGTGCCGCGTGCTCCCAGCCGACGCGCCTATTGTATTCCCTCTAACTCGTCGAGGCCTTCTACACGACAGAGCTACCAGTTTCTACCTCAGAGTGGTACGTTGTGTTGCTGCCGCATCATAATTATTGCAATACTGAATGCTAAAGCTGAATATCTGTTTTGCTACCGACGTTTTTGCTTCCTTCCCAGGGCGATACTTTGGATTCGTATCTTACAGTTGGAGGCGGAACTTTCTAAACCATAATCCGGCTTGATTATTTCTTTAATATTTAACTGGAAAACGACCAACTAGTCAATAGTGTAGAGTTTTTTTGCACCAACGCCGTGCCCCCTGTTGTTGGTCTTTAGTGATTATTCTCATTCTAGTACACCGTGATTACCGAACACGCTGCAACAAACCACCTCCCCCATACTTCGTACCTCCTCCTGAATTTATTACATCGTGCTGGCATAGCATGCGCCTTATATTTCATTCTACATCCTGGAAGTTAGCCCCTTCCCCTCTTCAGAATCCGCTTTGCTAGCATAGATTTGCATAAACACTTGCCCTCGATTGTTGAATACTATCGGGCCAACCAACAAGATAGAAATACCTGATGGCTTCATAGTTGTCCGTTACCATCAGCCCACGGAGATGCGCAGCTACCTAATTTGCACCCCAGCCTTACATGATCCGCGTTTCTAAAGGTTATTGCAGTTGGCTGTTTGCCGCCTCCATAAGCTGCACAATTACCTCCCGGCTACTGCGACATCCCGAGTTTAAAGCCTCAGTAAAATCACCAGTTCATTTAGTGCTTCGGTGTAAAACTCAAGTATGATGCGCAACATATGACCCCATGCGCGTATTCACAGCTATCCACCAGGGCAAATTCCTACGGATGAGCGTAGCGAAAACTGCCGAGATGCAACATGGAGTGGACTCGTGTAGGCATGCGTGGTTGGTAGGTGCTTAGGCATTCAAAATAAACTTGCCATATCCAGTCTAATGATTTGGGCAACTCTCTACGGACATGCACATACAGTCAGAGATGCAAGTAGTAACACAGCAGTGATGTGTAAGACCCTTGACTAGCATAAGTGATGCCAAGCAGCATTTGAAACCAGCTACCTACACAAAGCAGACCAAGTGCACCTGACATCAAAAAATGGACATCCAGAAAATGCAGACTGATTATTCTACATTTTGATGTGGTTCATCCCGTGGCAAGCCAGACTGCAAGTTCGTCTCACTGATGGCCCCCGCAGCTAGCTGGAATGCGGTATCATCTACCCCAGGACTAGAATGCTGCGCTTCGAGTACTTCCAGAGTTTGCATCAGCTCACTCGCCCTGAACCCGCCACAGTGTTGGCAAACAATTCCAGCAATAATGACGCACCCACACATGAAACCAGGAAGTGTGCCTTTGGTCACAATGCCCAAGAAGCCACAGTTCCACGAAATGCTGCTACGTCCCGCCCTCTAATCAGTAAAAACTAGATGTACTCACCTTCCAAAATAAATCATGTCCGAAATACGATTCGTCAGCCCTGTCTTTTCCAGATTTATCTGCAAAAGAAAACGCAGGATCCACTACTCCATTACCGGCGCATGTACATGATGAATGTTAAAGGCAGTCCATTCTTCCGCTTAACATCATGTGCTAAACACGTAATGCTCCTCAATAATTTCCTGCCATTTCATGTTCAGCAACAGTGCTCATGTGTGGTGGTCCAAACACCAAAGTAGTATCTGTGAGCAGAGTGATGAGTAAGCTGCACGTGATCCTTAATCAGATATCACCGACACGTTGGTGAAAATCCTGCGTGCGCACTTCGATGATTTTCGCGCCTCTTCTCATGGCTCTGTAGGGAATCTCTGATGCAGGGTGCACAGTCGCTGACGTGCCGACCACCAGCATCAGGTCACACTTATCCGCCTCCAGATTTGCTTCTCGCAGGGCCTGCGAGGGAATGCCCTCGCCAAATAAGATCGCGTCCGGCTTGAAGTATCCACCGCACGCACACTGCAAACATGTCAACACTCCGAAAATTGCTGAAGGGCTCCTTAGGATATGCAAGGCATCGCGTAGGAATAAATGAGCTGGAAACTAGGGTCGTCACCTTTGGAGGGAGCTTCTTCTTGAATGAAGGGTTCCTGGCCATCTGCTTAGTCAGCTGCATTTTAGCACCGCAGCGGTAGCATGATGCCTGAATATCAGAAGTGAAAACCAGCGGGAGAGGGGTTTTACAACTTGAGAAAAAACCTGCAACAATCGTGTACACTTAGTATTCAGCCAACATTTACAGTTCATTGATGCCCTGTTGGGTATCTTCGTGTGCAATCACTTCTTGCATTTCTCCAAAAATCAAAGTCAAACAATGCCCTCTAGTGGAACGCTGTGAAAGTAGAAAAATGGCATTATTTATCGCACGTTCCGATTCATTAGTAATAATTGACCAAGTTCGCCTGGAATGAGAGAAGTTGTACGCGTGTATTCCAGCATGTCAACATATTTGCTTAGAAGGGCTTTAGACAGAAGAGCATGCGTACATTCATGAGGTTACCGTGGAACTCAATTACTCGTCGACTTCCTGCATCTTGGTGAAGATTATCAACGTTTTGCGTTATGATCGAACGGACAATTCCCAGGGCCTCCAGTCTCGCCAGTGCAACATGAGCGTGATTTGGTTCTGGTTCGTGCTCATTCAGAAACTCGTGCAGCAGCTGCCAAATCTTGCTTGGATTCCGCCAAAACCCCCAAATCGTAGCGTACTCTGCAGGATCATACCTATAAAGTATTCCAGCATAGAGAACAGCATTATCAATGGTAGAATATATGAACAGGCTGACCAATAAGCCAATTATCAGTGACTCTAAGTTAAGCATAAACACTGTGGTAGGAAGAACCCACGTGTAAACTCATCCGTTGCACCTTTGGACGTGGGCAGCCTTATCAAGTCGCAGACAAGGAACGAGCTCCCTTACCTGCGCCACAATCCGTCTGAAGGGTCCCTAAAAGTTGGGATGCCGCTCTCGGCTGAGACACCTGCCCCCGTCAACGCCACAACGTACCTGAGTAAAGGAATATAACCAATTAGACATTATGCTACTCAAAACAGGTTCACTTAGTCACAAAATAGGCCTGCTAAATGTGTGGCCACAATTCCAACATCCTGAATTCAAGCTCATTTGCACGCCAATCCAATGGTATATGACGAACTTTGCATTGCGAAGTTCCTCTGTGAGTCTCTGGACTGAAATGTCTTCCGTGCGCTTCCGGCGCATGTAAGTAACCCACTGCCCCATCTTGCTGTGCCGTCAGAACATACTGCTTCTGCTGCTTCAGACAACGACATTGAGAGCTTTTTTGAAGACCTACAAGCCAAGCAAAGCCGTGTAAACACAACTTCCTTTAAGTCACTTGCAGGTACATATGCAGCAACGGACTTGGGGAACTGGATTATATTGACCAGGCTGATCTGCTCCTGAGTCACTCTATCTTTGACATCCAGCCAGATCGCTCCTTTTCTGCAAGGTGTCTTTCCCTTTCTTGTCTGTTGAGCTGGGCGGAAGTTACTGGCCCTGGGCTTCGGCTGCCCCGAGATAAGTCCTTCAAGAAAGCAAAACCCCACACGCCCACCGCGACGGCGTGTAGTGACAGAAGTAGTAGCAATACAAGCGTTAGAACGAACGAGTATGGGCTCTCGAGGTCATCGGAGTTGGCCTTAGCTCCCTCTGATATCATTGCAACGCACCCCGGTGGACATCACACAACCCCGAGAGAAACAGCAATTGTGATGTCTGGTTAACTTTGTATCAAACACCGAAAAGTACGCACTATGGTGTGTAAGTCACTTATCCCACGGATAATCATATTTCTCATGTATTTTGAGCTCGGCAGTAAAAGCCGCGCTGCTGGTATCCAACACGTCAATCAGCTTCCATCGGTTCCTCCGCTGCAGCTGCATCCATATATCGAATATAGCGAAATTTTCCGAATTCACTGATTTAACCATGACGTAAAGTTGAGCACCTGCCAATGTTTCTAAGTATCTGTAAATCATTTTTTTCTGTGTGAAGCACACGAGTGAAAGCTCTATACGGCCGACATATGAAGGCTGTGGTTCGTGGGGCTTTCATCCAGTTACAACCTTCCATGGGGAAAGGTGTCTGTTAGCGTTTATAAGCAATCTTTGGAGGCAACACCAAGATGTACTATGTGTTATTGTAGCACAATGTTAAAGCGTACCACTAACAATGCCCTGGGCCTAGGATTACTCTAGGCGTCTCCTCATTACACTGCCTATCGGGCTTGACAGAAAACACTCGGTCTGAAACAAAAATTATAATGCAATTGCAATCTAGTGCAGCATGGGCTGCAAAGGTGTTCACATGCAAATGTACAGGAATAGCAAGCGGCGTGTAGCGCGCGGTGCAGCCAACATGCACATTGATACAGCGGACCAGCCTGCGCTTACATACTCTCTGTTACATTCATTATGATTGCCCGAGGAATAATAAGTTATTGAAGATTTGGCATGAATAGTTAGTTTGACTGCTTGTATATCATATTCAGTGCAGTGTATTGCTAGCTCGGTATAAGAAGCCGCAACGTTGTGCGCAATGCATGTGAGGCAATGTGTGATTGGTTGTGAAAGCTCAAGATGCTTATAGAGTGCAGCTACGCGCACCCTGGCTGCAGAACCCTTCACATAGCGGAACTGTCTAGGAAGATGGCATCGTGCGCACGCTATATCGAGGGGTTCTTTAGATATCACTTAAAGTCAGACTGAATATAAGCTTATTACAAAGTGGTTGAGCTCTGTTCAAAAGTGCCCCCCAATTTCCCTCTCCGCATCCCTCACATTTAGCGATATAAGGAGAGACAAACAGCTAGGGTACGCATAGCTGCACCCTCTAAGAAGTCCAAGCTTCCACGGCTAGCACAGAGCATCCAGCTTTCACACACAGCACTGCATCTTCTTGTATCGAGAACAGCTACTCTTCACTAAACAAGGTATACGAACGAAGACGTGAAACGGTTGATTTTTTACAAGTCTTTGTAAAATAAATTAGTTTAGTAGTGAGTTCTTAGGTGGAGTATCACGCCAAACCTTTCCCCCAATTTGAGCATAGGTCCACGTGTTTCGGACCTGTACGTCCAGACCAACTGCACATAGGACAGTGGAGAACTTTCCGCCCTATAGTCACTTCCCAGGCAAGCAAAACTAGTGAATAGCAAAGGAAAAAAGCAAATATGTAACTTTACCGCTAAAATGATATGGCCAAGAAGAGAGATATACACACTTCTCTACAACGGACGAGGGACCAAATCAACACACCCGCGGAGGCACAACGGTTTGCTGTCGTCTTAGTGCCGGATGTGTAAGTTTTCTGCTACACAAAAACGCAAGATTCGTCAAAGGTGTGAAAGTATCGAAACACAGATGGCCTCACTAGTGCGCCTATGCCTCATAAGGCAACCTCCGCAAATACTCCGGCGCATGCAGCAGAGCTGAATTTGAAGCTCCCCAAAGCGCATATACAAGAACGCAGGTATAGTAAGCCTGAAGCTACTTGTACCGAAGCTCTCCCGCTAGACAACAACACCTTAACCGCAACATTTGGAGACCTTTCGGGCAATGTCTAAAGATGAAGGTAGCTGTCTCGCGCAATGCATACACTGGAAAAGGACAATAATCAAGAAGCTTTTAATTATTGTCCACGGCGACTAGCGTCGATAGCCGTACAGCGTCACGAATTCACCCGCAGGCAGCGAAGCCCTCAAGTGCTCCTTTCTCACCGACTACGGTTGCCGCTTCCTTGCGCTTCCACTAGAATTCCCCGTTTAATGTCCTCGGCGGACAATTGTCCTAGAATTTAGCACTTACACGGCTTTATGTGGATCATCTGCCTCCACATAGGCCACTAGATTCGGAAAGGTATACAAGTACTTTTGAGCGCTGTAAAACCGAGGTCAATATTAGTGCCTCGGTGGCACCTCCAAGTGAAAGGGGGATCGCCAGTGTAAGTAAGAACTCCCATTCGTCAAAGAGCCGCGTATGCTCCTAGCCGGCTGGCCGCAAGCTTCATTTCTGGCAACCTTCTGGTAGACCTCGTAAAGTCTGTCGATCCGCCGTTATCAAACCTCCAAATTTGAAATGCACAGCTGCTCGCCCCTTATTATTAGTCCATGTTTGTTTCTTTTCGGCTAGAGGCATACACTCTGTAGCTCCAACCATTCCTTCACTGAGGAGGGCGATCGCTGACGCCTGGACACGAGTTTTAGGCCCGGATCGGGGAGATGTTCCTCAGTGTAGATCAGATATGCAGGAGAGCAACATGCAGATGACCGTACTGCTGTATCATAAACCAACTCGAAAAAAGAAAAAATGAAGCCAGGCAGTCGCATTTCTGTTAGCGTAGCGTGGCAGATACTGCAGGGAAGTAAGGCTGGTACAGTCTATTTGCTCGTCTGCCTCAGGGTGGTTCGCATTGGCCCTTCTATGGTCTATCTGTGTGTAGATCATAAAGGCATTCCAAAACCTACTCATAAACTTCGAATCGCTATCCATAGTGGCTTTCTTGGGGAATCAGTGAAGCTTCCAGACATGTATAAAAAATAATTGAACGACTCTCTGCGCGTGGTAGAGCTGGAACAAGGGCTGAAAGGGGCAATTTTCTGGGTCTGGCACCATGGCGCATATGCAATCCTGAGACTTCCGGCAGTCCAACAGTAAAATCCGTTTTCAGAAAAGTCCAAATTCTTTCAGAAGCCAGCAAAATTGCAGAAGATATGGCTTGGGAGCATTTTCCAGCTTCAGCTGCTGATGTTCTGGGCATGACAGTGCGTACTCCCAACCAAGGTCACCAGAAGGACTGTGAGAGCTTTCCCACTCCAGCTCCACCATGGCCCGAAAAACATGATCATGTATTCCACACATAGCGGGATAGCGTAGCAAATTCAGGACGTGATGACGACAAAGTCATTGCTTTGCTTTGAATAACAACAGCCCATCATCAACCTTACAGTGTGCAACCGTTGTGGCATCCTTGGTTCTAGAAAAAGTAGCGGATGCATGGTGTTAAAGCAAAAGGCTCATAAAATTTCTGTGAGCCATGAATAGTTCCAAACGAAAGTGGTTGTGCTACACAATGGGTAGTTGCTGGGGCATTGTGAGGGCACGACTGCAAATTGGTGATGCCCTCGATACGCAACACTGTATAGTACTTCAAGAGCCTTATGAGCCAGCCAACAAGTATAGGGCGACTCAACGTCCTAAAATTCTTCATAAGGTGCATTGAAGACTGGTGGTAGGTCTGAACAATGAAGCGTCGCCTACATTAATAGGTGCTAACCATGTTGTCAGGATTCATTTTTTGATCTGAAGTAGCATTAAAGTGCCGTGGCCTGTGGAATCCTTGCGCTCCGGCATCCCTCTGCAGGCTTAACCCCTAGGAAGTGCGCTAGCGAATGAAAACACAAGCTGCCGCTTTTTCGCACCAGCTTGTAAGATAATAGATCCACTTTATGTCTGGTGTCAAGTCCCGATAGCAGTTCTTGGCAATTGAGATGAGCTCGGATACGTGCAGGATCAACCCGTGACGCATCTTCAACTGCGGCTCTATCGTCTGTAGCCCCCGGCCTCGTTGGCAGCCAAAGTAAGTGTAGTGGAGTTGGTAGTTGGTTTGATGCACGCTTTTGACTGCCAAGCAACCCGCTTCCGCTGTGACAAATCCAGATGTCCAAGTTGTTTGGCTTTTTTGCATGGGCTTGCAGGGCCGCATTCTTACACCCAATATGGTAGAGCTGAGGCAGATGCGTCGTTGGGAGTCTCTCTGGGGCTGGTTTAGGGCCCCTTTGCTCTATAGCTTTATGTTCTCGTTTACCGTAGACTGGAGGCTAGCGCTGGTTAACCCACCCTTGACATCCATCTGCTGAAAATCCCGATTAAATACGTTTTTTCAGCCAAAAACGTAGAGTTTGCGCTCGCACGCTTCGTAAACCATAAGTAACTTATTATTATAGACCTCACCTGTTGTTGCTCTAGTGGCTGAGTCGCTGCCCACCATGCGACTACCGGACGTGATACATTGCATAGAACCAAGAAAGCCACGAATAATGCAGGCATTCTTCTACTTTGTGGCTTTTGCATACTGCAGGATAATCAATTCATTGGTAGATGCCCCTCCTTGAATCATCTCAGTTCTCCCGAAGCTTACTGCTGAGCTAACCTGGGCGTAGAACGATGAGTGACGGTCTGTATGAAGGTATGAAACTGTGTTTATCCCTGCAGGTACATTGATCCCTTTGCATTCAAACATCCAGAATTGGGGTGTCTCTCCCTCTATGGAATATGCCACAGGTACCACCCTTTCTCTTCGTCTAGCGGTGCAAAGCGAGGTGCATTTCTATTTAGCTAATAAAATCGTTGAGTGCTTGCCCAAAACTACAGCCAGTGTGCTTTCCCGATCAGCATACCTGATCCACGGGCCCATATTGGCTGATAGGCTGTGGTTTTCTGCCCACTGTGGAGCTACTGCCTTCGCATCAGCTTGCAAGCCGGCCTTTACCGCCCCAGGAGTCATTGTGCCACTGTCAAATTCTACCGCGCGAGGTAACAATTAGCTTGATAATAACTAAGAGTGGCTATAGCGAAGCCTGATGTCCCACCGCCTCCACAAATGGTGGATGAGCGTGCCACAGCCATGTTAAACTATCAGGTGCTTTTAACTGTGACGTTTCTTTCAAGGTCGCTCTAGGAGGACGCCTAAAACTTTTGTTGAGTAATTCCTAAATACAGCCGCCGCTTTCCTCTGCAAACACCCGTTACACTTCCCTACATTAGAGAAGGGTGACACCTAGGGTGCGCGTTTCTTCTCCGCTTACCCAGTCCGATTATTCACAGCTAGTTCCATTTAGCATATAGCGTACATGAGCAGTAGATTGCCCATTGTTGTATCGAGCTAAGTGTACTCTAAAAAGCTGCGAACGAGCTATCCAATTTGTAAGCTGTAAAGCAAATTCGTAGATAAATATAACTAATGCAGTAGAAAGTATTGAAATGCTGCTAAGCACGCTACAGCCAGGGATGCACTAGACGGGAGTTCCTAGTGACATGTGGTGAGAAATCCGACCCTCGATAATAACAGGAATTTTATTTGCAGGTTTCGTTGCCGGCTGATAACCTGAAGCTTTGTTTCGTTCACAATACTAGCAACCATGAGCGGTCCTTCCAGCGTCTTCTGTATTTTTCTTTCCCCTTGACGCATGCACTCTGGTTGAAATATTCACCTCCATTTATGCATTTTTCGGTAATAGCTTCCGATTACTATTTTGAGGATGCTCTCTACACATAGATATGTGCTCAAGCATTTCCAGATATGTTGTTCTCATATTCTCTGCTATAGCCCCGTTGAGCCCTGTTGTATATCGACTAACACGCACAGTCCAGCTATATTTGCATGCAAAAACTGCTCGACAGCAGACAAAGGCACTGCTGAACTAGTGCTCGTCCGGTTTACACTACATAGTTTGCTGATCGTCTGCTCTATCGCAACAAAAGGCTCACATATTTAGGGGACCCGATAACAGCTAGGATCGCCACTGCCTTGTTGTTTGGGCGTCTTTTTCACTGTTGGCTTGTCTCTTACTTCCATGCCTTTTAGATATGCGGGTTGATCCCCACTTTGTCGTTTTGCCCTGTGTTTCGCTGTTCTGCACTCTTGGAAAGTGGTATTAGCGCAGGAACTTTTCCACTATGCTGCGCACCGCTGGTCTCATACAGGCCCGGTGCACAAGGGTAAGCTTTTTATATTGAGGTAAAGATGTAGGGGCACATTTTGGCACTTTCTACTCCACTAAACATATCAAGATTCAACAAAAGATTGCCTGTGTTTTGAGTGTATGAGCAATTGACTGCAGTGTATCGTTGCATATAAATAGCAAGAATCAATGTATGCCTGTGTGCTTGGTGCTTTGTGCAGCTGGCCATGAATGCTCGGCGTGTTGAAAGGGTGCGGCAACGCCGACTTTAGCTGACTCTTGCCCCTCGTGCCTGACACCGAAGGGGTGGGCAGGGGGGAGCCCTTTTGGAAGAACGCTCACTTAGTGTCTATTGAGTGCTAAATCGGTGTAAGGTGACTGGATACAGAGTTTTTCCTACACTATACTACTCTGGTATGTACAATCCCCTGAAAGGTGTCCCAAGGGCATTCGTCGGATGACCTGTGGTTTCACTGGGGTTGGCAGTAAACTTAAGAAGCCTATTTCTTCTCGGACACCACATAGATGCCCTGTGTGCGTGGCAATAACCAAGTCACGAGAATTATTCGCGATTACGTGTCACAAGACTCACTTGACACCAGTGACCCCGTCAGCAGCGACCCTTAAACGTGCCCTCTCAAGTACGGAGCCATAGTGGTTCCTCCCAGATGCAAAAAGAAGGAGGCCAGGGAGCACAGAGGAGGGACGAACGGAATCGTGAAATTGTTGAGAATAAATAGTCTTCACAGAATAGAAGCACCACTACCATTTGCAGGCTTTGTGACGCTCTGACGATTGCCCAAAACAGCAACATCAGCAGCAGCCGCCGCCAGATTGAACTTGCTGAGGGCGAATTTCCTGATTTGTGAGCGTCAACGTTTCCGGCAGGTAGCTGCAGCGCACGTGCATTATCGCCTTATTCAGACGACACAATCATACCGGCTGGCAGGGCGGGACTGAGATGCAAATGGCCTGGAAAAAGAAAACGCAGCCATCGGGCTGTGCAACCGTTAAAAGATGACTCACATTTGCTCCTGCTTGATCTCGTGTTGCATGGCCTTGCGAGCGATTTCTTCAAATGCTGCGTTGACATTCGTCGCTTGTTTGGCGCTTGTCTCAAAGTAGCTAATCTTCGATCCACAAAAGGCTTCCGCCTTGGCTGCCGACACTCTGCGCTTCTCCTCTAAAGGAACAACACATGAAAGAGAATTCACCAGGCACCAGCACCTAATGCTTGAACACAAGCAAAATGCGGTTTTGCAACAATCAATGTCCAGGGACTAGGACCAAGAAGCTTCCCGCTCACTTTCATCGACCTTATTGCCAAGAACAACGAAAGGAAAGGCATCTGGGTCCGACGGAGAAGACTGAATCACAGGAATGAAGCCACACAAAATTCCTAAACGGCGGCTGCTGGGAGTAGAGTAGCCCTAGAGATGGCCGGGACTACCGCCCCTGATGTGGCTTCGTGGAACAAAATCGATGAAGAAAAACCGATGTGATTTGTTGCACTGATGCACAGTTACACATTTTAGCAGTTTTATAAACACGGAACTAGGGGATAAGAATATGTGCTTTGATATCTCACCTGAATAAGGAACTCATCTTTCCATGATTCAAGGCTATCGAAGGACTTGGGATTTGTCACATCGAAGACCAAGACGCAGCAGTCTGCTCCACGGTAGAAAGCGACTCCTAGACTCTGGAAGCGCTCTTGGCCTGGGAGGGGCATTGAGTCAGACATGCAGCATTTTCCTGTGCTGTAGGCGGAATGCCTTTTTCGTTGTACACACAGCACAACATACAATACATACCCCACTAACCTTAGAAACTTGAGTTACAGAATGCTTGTTATCGATTAAGCATCTCACCTGCCGTGTCCCAGATTTGGATGGTTACTTCCTTGTCATCAATTATGACATCCTTTGTCAAGAAGTCGGCCCCAACTGTGCACATGCCCCTCGCACCGGGCACTTGTACTACACTAACCACTTTTTGGAAAAAGCCCATTCAATCATGCTATTGCAGGTCAGACTTTCGGGTTTACGGTTCACGCTGAGAATGAGTACACAAAGATATGGAGCACCGTGCAAGCACCTATGTGGCCTACAGGGTTAAGACCGCCTAAGACCCACTTGTGGCTTTGTATTGATTCGAAAACTTCTTGTTGACATACTGGTTCATTAAAGAAGTCTTGCCCACGCTGAACAGGCGCAACAAGCCGTTCAGACACTACTGTTCTGTGCCTCTGGCACTAGAGCCTAGAAGTACCTTTGACGCCTGGATGCGTGAAACACTAGGAGGACAAAAGCGCCGCCCCACCTGCTGTCCCCCAAGATAATAACCTTGAGCAGAGACTTCTTTTTTGGAGGCATTTTCTCAAAGTTCCTTCTGGCACAGCGTGGGGTTCTCAAGGCTACAATGCAGTGAGCGTAGCGCTAGGCACTAGAATGCCCTGACTTAGAATAAATATTCACGATAAATTGAAGGAATTGGAGGAATGAGTAAGCACACTGCATAGAAGTACCAGTGGAAACAGACGCTTCCGACCAGAATACCAGCCACTACTATAGTTGGGGCTGTGCAAAAACAGCGTACTAAGGAACGGTGTCTACCCGTTGGACAACCCTTTCCGTAGTATAGCAGCTCTTCAACTGTATTTTAGTTTGCATTATCCTCTATCTGGGACCTGTGTTGAAGGGTTATACATAAACACAACTCTAAGACATAATGTATCGCTAGTACATGGCAGGCAAAGGACCAATCCTGCAGCTGGAGGCTGTACAGGTACTTCTGAAGCGTATATCCACAATCTGAAGCTACAAAGATGCTCTTAGAGCATGCAGAGAGTCATGGGAGTACCACCATGGAGATACATTAGAGCAATATACGGGCACTCAATACACGCTCGTCGGATGGCCTCAGGTAGACACCGAGCGTAATGGCTTACGCTAAACTCAAGCAGTTTCTCCTATGCTCAGTGTGTTTTTAAAAAGCTGGCGAATATGTGAACAAACGTCTAGTCTGCTAGTATCTTTCTTTTTGGCCACGGAGAACTGAAGGTCCGATACAAACAGGCGCAATGCTGTGTCTTTGTTCGCAAGATGCAATGCGAATCTAGCTGTGAATGCTCTCACTGCCCAGAGGGTACCCACACGCATGCCTTGGCTGGCTGCCTCCTCCAATGTTCGGAGCTGGGGAAGGGGCTGAGAGGGGACGTTGGGAGCCATTTAGAAACAATCCCTCCTCATCAAATTTGTATTGACTCTGGTTTGAAGTGTCCTCCGACAGAGAATATACATGACGATTCGCATTGCTTGTTACATCCAGCGCAGAGAGCAGAGGCAGACAGTGTAAAGCATCTGATGTCGCCGCAGGGGGACTCTTAACCCCAGAGGCAATACTAATAACGTGGTAGAAGTTGTTTAGTGCGCCTCAAGAGACCTCTCGCCCTTCCCTGCGCACCCCCTTCATGGCTATCGACATGAGGAAAACGGGCAAGATAGGATACGCTCAGCTGCACTCGCGGAGCAGTGCGAACATTCACAGCCAATTGCACACGGCATCTGGCACAAAAGGTACAATGTTGTGCCTTATTAGTATTGACCTACATCTTTTGTAATAATAAGACATACGAGTGTGCAGCGCGATCAGTCAACTGTTAACTAATGCCTAAATGAGTTTCACTGGTGTATTAGACAATGTTCAAGTGTAGCTTTGCCTGCTACATTAACCTTGTACACTACGCAATCCGAACGGTGCTGATGGTGTTTGGGTGGCTTTCCATGGCTTGAGCTTACCAAGTGGGGAAGCGTGGTTACTGTCGCAATGCAAAATAGGGAGTGGCACCAGCGTATCTGTACTCCAGGATCGAGGTGTGTGCATGGGGTGTGTGCGGTGACACCGGTTTTATTCTCCACCGGGTAAAGGGTACTGCATGCCCGAAGCTCTTAAAGTGGCGTTTAGTGCCTCCTATCTCGAGCTATCCTAATTTATCCGTTTCATACCTTTCGTCTTCGTTGGCACATTCGGTGCACGTCTGATGACGGCTAGCGGCTAAGGAAAGTACGAATTAAGGGGCTAGGATAGTTCCCATAGGCTATTGAGGCGTACTAATTCTACAGAGGGTCAAGTGATCCTTTGTTTAAGTACAAATACTCCATATGTTATCGAACATTGGAAAGAAGAGCCAAAGTCGTACATGGTAGGGTAGTGGAGATGATTTGTTAATTTTCATTAAATAAGTAGACTGGACAGCTTTGCCTCCTTTTGCTGAGGATGGATTCATCTATGCAATAAGCACTGCGGCACTCAGGAAGTTTTGTTTCACATCACTGAGTGCCAGACACTTGCATTTCGCACGGGGAAGCTGAGCTGACAGAACTCGCCGTTCATGGATGGGCAGCAAGGGAATCCACCCGATTAGAATAGTGCCTTCTACCTTAAGGAATGAGAGATTACTTACTTACCACAAAGCAAAGAGATGTGGCTTGAATGCCTCTCATCACAGCCAGTAACCAGTCCTGAAGAAATTTGTACTGCGGTGAGGCGGCCGAGACCGGAGGCAAGGTCAACGGCAGGTATCTCAAAACCCCTCTAACAGTTTGTATCGTTTGCAAGCATCCGTTTCCAACTGAATCAAGTGAAAAGAGGTAATCAAGGCGGGCAAGAGAAGCGTGGGACTACAGTGTTTTGTTCAGTGCGGTCATCATCGACGGCCTTTGGCGACCACGGCACAGTACGCCGCACAGAGAGTAGTGCTGCCCCTCGGCTCATGCCGAATGAGAGGTGGCGGCATCTTTTCTTTAGAGTATGGTCAATTCATCTGATCCCGAAAGGGCTGAGGTGTATGGAGATGCGCGGTCCCAGCCTGCCGCTCTACAGACGTTGAGGCGGGGGGCCAGGGAGGGGTGGCCCCAATTCTTCTCTTCCGGGCATTTAAATGAAGTTTTCGGAAGGCACTGCAGGAGCACTTCTCGGAGTTGCTTTTTCTTCTCTCTGATTACCACTTTCTCGCCACTGTGGCGGTGTGAACTATTCCATCCTCTGCCCGCAGCCAATCGATTACAATTTGTGTAGGGAGGCTGTGAGGAAAGGACTTCGCCTCGCTTGCACGCATTGTGCAGAATACGGCAAGCTATGACGGGGCAGATCTCAGATAAAGGACCTCTTGAGGTGCAGCAGTCGCATTCCATTTTGCCAGAGCAGGCGTACAAACCATTCAAGAGGCGCACTACCGAGTCAAAGAGGCTTCTAGGGGAGCCCTTTCGAAGCGAATTGCAGTTGCATGGGTCGGTGGGCTGGAGGGAACTTGCAGAGACAAGAGTTTGCTCTGTCGGAAAGCAGCTCGTAGCTGAGCCGGTGCGGAGCGCTAGCGGTAGGGCCGAAGCGGGTGGCGCCGCATTCTTCAGATGGAGGAGCACAGCGATCTCCCCAAATATGACTCTACAACAGAGGGTGACCCTAGCCGAGTCGCAGGGGTTTCTGCGTGCCAAAGTTGCCGCGAAGGAGCAACTATGTTCCCAAGTAATTGGTGAAAATCAGCAGCTGCTCAGACAGCTGGAGGATTCTAGGGCACGGCAACAGCAAACTGTCGAGCGACTCAAGGCGTGAGCAACAGAGCACGCTTAGGCGGGAGGGGTTTATCTGCAGCATGTATTGCTTTGCATTGGTAGCCGGCAGCAGCCGGAGCTAAGCCAAATTGGCTCGCTCTCGTTTTAATCCTGAAACATGCCGTTGTACAAGGTGTTCGCACAATGCTTCCACAATGATCTGTATTGTATAAAACTTATAACCCGTATATAAAACTTCTAACCCGAAGGTCTCTGCTATAGTTACTGCCTGTAGGGGTTCCCACTGCGTACCTTTCCTTCTTTCTCCCGCTTAATAGAGTAGCTTGTAGCGTAAGACTGTGCTCTTGGATTGGCTCATCAGTGTGTAGCATTTCAGCTTGGTTGGCTGCTGCAGGGAGGCTTCGGCGGTGGTGCAGCACTTGCTGGCAGACACAGCTGTGTACAGGGATACTCATGAAAACCTGCTTAGGAAGTTAGAGCTACAAGAAAGGCAGGCAAGTAACGATGCCCATCGTGCTCGGCAGGCAGAGCGTCGTACGCAGGAAGCTGAGGAGAAGCTACTCGTTCTGAAAAGGCAAGTGGCCATTGGCAAAGTAGGCCGGACCAGAGCATTAGTTTAGGGCCATAGTATATTCGGTCCCTCCTCTCTCTCTACTGAGGACGTGGGTGGTTTTCTTGGCTTCTTTTTGGCCACGTGCATTCTACTGTCACCTTTAGGTAAGGCTTTTGCGCTTCTGTTCTTAGATTGACTCAAAAGAATTTGGGGGGTTTTACCGCAGGTTTGTGGCTGGATTGCAAGAAAAGCAGAAGGCTTTGGAGGAGGAAGCGCACGCATTCATTTTGGCCTTCGGCCATCTGAAGAGCGCCGTAAAGACATTTGCAGCAAGCATCGCAGCTTGCAATGTGAGTTGCTTAGACAGGCCTGAAGGACTTAGCAGGACCACTCAATGTCAAACCTTCGAAAGGACACTTGCTCGTAGTCGAGAGGCAGAGAACAGCTGTCCTCCGAGAGGCGTGTGTAGAGGTAACGTTTATAGACTTCTACCACCACGTTGAACACATGTTCCTTGGATTTGTCTGCCCTGAGGTATCCTACCAGTTTTCAGACGACAACACGGCGGCCTTGGAGCAGCTACCGGAGATGGTGACCCTCGGTGTTAATCGCATGCAGGTAAGGCAATGCATCAGACAGCCTGGTGTAGGAGTAGCAGTGTCCTTGGTTCATTACGTTGCATGAAGTGAATGCAGGACTTTGCATACGACCGATTCAGAAGGTTCATGTAGCTCCAATGTTTTATTTTCCTTTGTGGCTCGCAGCTAGTTCTATCAGAGACAGAAGCGGTTCTTCTGGAGAAGGGATTTGTGAGGGAAGTCAGTGCAAAACGCATTCTGCAGGTATGTCGTACCGCCAGCAGCCGCACCCCCGGAGCTCACAAAGCTCGTAGAGGGTCCTGGCGGTGCAGAGTGTTTACAGTAGAGTCGTTTCATGTTGTAAAGCTTTTAATATTAGGCAGTACGCTAATAGGCGGCCATCCACCTAGTGAGTGCCGCGCAACTGTTTTCATGTAGCTTGCACATCGGGTATTTTGTGGCGCTTTGTTTCTCCTGATGTCTTGCCACCTACCTGCAGAGTATATCCAACGCTAAGCCCGACACAATGGTTCCAGCTAGCGAAGCATCTCGGTTACAAAGGGAGCGCAAGATGTGGGAGAACAAATATTTGGTGCGTTTCTACACTCCGGAAGGAGTATATATATACATATATATAAACAATCTGCAATTACTCAGCCACTATCGAGTTAAAGTCCGCAGTAGAAAAGGATTCGCGGCTTCGCTGCCTGCACGATAGGCTTGCTTTGGCCTCTTCTGTCTCTCAGAAAACGGAAAAGGAGCTACGTGCAACAGAGAAGCAACTCGGGGAAGTAAAGAAGGAGAACGAACGCAAGGCGGAAGCTTTACTCAAACTCCGTCTAAAGGATCACCGAATTAAGTAAGACCGCCTTCTGCAAGCATCACATGGTACTGCAGTGGCCACTCACAGTGCCTCATGGCAGTCCTTTATCCCGAAGAGGGGACGGCCATGTGGAGCCAGACACATAAACAAGCACGTTGTTTCAATCTAAAGCGACGTTGTTTTAACAGGGACGCTAGGAGATAAAGCTTATTCTAGGTGCAAACTTTCGCTCTAACGTGGCGGCTCACGTACAGGGAGTCAATGCCGAAAATTCAGAACTAAATCCCATTTACTAGTAGGCAAGAGACGATCCCCTAACAACATGTGCATGCGTTCTCTGCCCGCGTTTCTTGCTCAGGCTACAAGACGCTGAAGTTGCATCTGCTAAGGCGAAAGCACACGAGATAAACTTTCAGCTCGAGAAACTTCGAAAGGAAAGGTGCAACATCTTTAACGTCAAGTTTAGATAACGCAATACAAGGGATAGAGATATACGAAAACTGAGGGCAAACCCTGCGGGGTAAGTTGGGATTATAACCTTAATTCACTCTACATCCAGGCACAAAAATACACCTAAATGTGCTATCTGCTTTAGAGATTATCTGGCTGCTTGGAAAGCTTCGCATCCGGTGTACAAGGGCTACCGGTGGGAAGCTAATGCAGGTGAGAAGTCTCGTTCAGTTTCCGGAAGTCATGCCAACGGTCCATCCAGCTCAGTGATCCAGGGTTTCGAGTTCTCCACTTTGAAGACACCGCAGCGCGGCGACCAGTCAAAATCGGTGCGCACTAATTTTGTTCGTTCTGCTTCTCGGGCTTCCATAGCAAGCAGCCGGCGTGTATCTTCTGTCTCTTCGGTGGTTGCGCCAGAGCAGAAAGCCGCACTACTCCGCAGCGAGCGACATGCTGCACGGATAGAAACAGGCAATTTATCGTCGATGGCAGTCAAATCATCCAGTACCTCGGCCCTTTCACGGGCTGTTCGAGGGGTGTTGGCAATACCCCGAAGCAGCCGAGTGTCTCGGCAATCGCTCGAGCAGACGGGGATGAAGCTTCTGCGACGCAGTAGCATTGGCCCCTCCAATGCCGAAGACTCTAGAGGCAAGCAGAAGGGGCTGTTTGCTGGCGATGAATCCCTGAAGCTCGCACGAGGCCGGAGTGCATCCAGACTGGAAGAAGGGAGGGCCCTCTCGAGGGTTTCTAGCACTGGAGAAGCACATCGCCATCTTACTCTGACGCTCCCGAGCAGCCCAAGGTCCGTTGTCACACCGACATTTGCACATGCAGAAACTAATAGCATCGTTATGAATGGCCCCACAGCAGGCCGTGCGTTTCAGTCGGAGGACCCAGCCGGCGTCACCCGCCTTTCTAACTTCTTCAGCACTGCTTTTAGTAAGGCGGCCGCCAAGGAGAAAGAGGTGACTAGACAGCCCAAAGAGGAAACAAAAATTGAATCAGCAGCTGATTTATCTCTTAGGATGGGCCGCTCAGGCCACACAGCCTCATCCGCAGGCATTAGACGCGGGGGATCCATCGCGTCCACTAGAAGCTTAGTCCCTGGTGGTCGGAGAGTCCACATTGAGCTTCATGATGTAGCAGCAGAGGGCACTTCCGAGCTGGAGAATAAGGGCAACGAGAAAGACGAGCCCCTAAGCCCAAAGAGCCATATTGCAAGGGCCCAGGCTCTAGCTTTCATGGAAGGCAGCGCACCAAGCAGCACCTACCGAGATGGCGACCATACTGTGTCGCTTCCCCGACTTTCCCGAATGGATTCGTTTACTTCTGGAGCTTCTGTAAGGACGTTGCGCAGCCCCATTGCAGCGGCGGTAGCTTCCTCAGTGCATGCACAGGATGAGGCGGTAAGTGAGGGCACTGGATTGCAGCAGCAAGCAGGCCGACGGCTTGCAGGGGGGAATACAACTGTGAAGGAGCTTGTAGGAGAGGCAGCCACGAAAGGAGACATACCTATGGATAGCGAGGATGTAGCGCATGCTTCAGCATCCGCTTCAAAGGGATTTCGCGGGAGCTCCGAAGCGTCTCTTGCAGAGGGGCCTACGGCTCCGCACGTGGAAAACAAGCAGAAAGTGGAGGAGGGCTCTAGGCGTCCTGTAGAGCGCAGCGACGGTTCTCTTCCTACGGAGAAGAAAGGTTTCTCAAGTCAGCGGGGGGACGACGGTGTGGCTGTCGGTGGGGCCCCGCTGGATATGGAAGGTCTTCTAAGGAAGTACCTAGAGGGTCCTGCAATGGAAGCCACTGAAAAAATGCATAGTGATACAGCTACAGGAAAAGAGGCTGTTCTAGGGGACCAACAGGCAGAGATTGACTCGCAGGGTGATAGAGATAGGCATGAGAAAGATATTCGGGCTGACAAGCCTCCCCAGCATCATGGCCTTGAGAAGAAAATCGTCGAGGAGGGCACTTCTCTTCCACTTTTTCAGAGAAACGCTGCAGCTCCTCCTAGTGCCAAGGCTTGGAAAACGAAGCCACTTGACGTAGCCAGCGTCGTAGCGCCCCCGGAGGAGACAAGGGCCCCACACATGGTAGCTACGGAGAGCGCCGAACAGTACCCAGTCGTGCGAATGGGCACGAGGGCGGGGCCTGATGGGGGACCTTCCCGAACCATAGCTGGGATCCGAAAGGCTCCTCCTAAGCTTATTGGAAAACCTGATAGCAGCATGCCTAAATCGGTAGTCACTCAGGTCTTCTCACAGCCACCAGTTCTCAAAATGAATTCTGGCGTCGAAGCAGCAGCGTCAAGCGAAGCGGCACCAGTCACACCGGCAAGGCAGATGGAGAAAGGCAAGCCGGAGGTGCCCCCTCTTCTTACCTTGGCAAATATACCCAATCCGGATCCCTCTGCAGCATCGACAGCGAGGTTAGAATCTCCTCCTGAAGTGCCACGAGGAGGTGATAGCGGGGCTCCAGCTTTTGGGCGACACACAAGGAAGCGTATGTCTGCTGGGGAAGTTTCAATCGGGAGCTGGGCTATGGCAGCTCCCAAAATAAGCGTTAGTTCTTTTAAGCTCCCCCAGCAGGGAGCACCAGAAGCAGCAGGCAGACAGCTTAGTGGGTTATAGGGAGTTGCTCTCTGCATTGCTATTTTGAGCCAACTATTCGCGGAACGCACAGAGCAGAAATAATCTTTTCCTTGCTCCTCTCATACTCTTTTCCAGTCATAGTGGACTTTGTTCACTCAGAATTAGCTTTCGTTGTTCGAGCTTACCTACTGCAAATTTTGTGACTGTATTAAATGCCCTCACAGTGTGCGAATACGATTAGGAAATGTTAATCCGATTCCTAGGCTTAGTGCGCTACTTTTCTCTAGCGGTGTATTGGTTTGACCTCCCGCGATACTAGGCCCTAACAGGGATGCCTGATAGACTGTGGATATGCAATGCTACTTGAGTGTAGTGTGGTTTTCCCTAATGTAGCTCACGACGCTGTTTTGCGGCATTCTGCAGAATTAGACAGAGTAACGCTCCCAGCGGCCAATGACTGTGACAGGTTCAAACGGAGGAGCTCGAGAAACGCCATGACTGCTTCGGGTGGTATTGCAAAGGGAATCCAGAAGAGCTGCTACCGGGCAACTAGGGCACTCGTATCAGCGCTGTAATGATCTTCAATAGGATATTGGCTGTAAAGGTGAATCAACAAAAGAGAATTGAGCTAAAGACCCCGGTTGTCAAGTAGTTTCCCCATGAAGACACGCGTGCTACAGTTTTGCCTCCAGGCGTTTGTGCTTCGATAAAATCGCTTTACCTGCAGTGTCATATGCCGGGCTGAGACACGACCACAGCACAGTACCTTACTTATTAAAATCCTGTGCTGCGTTCGTGTGCCAGCCCGGCATATGACACTGCAGGTTTGGGAGTTTTATCGAGGCACAAACGCCTGCAGGCAAAGCTGTAGCAGGCATGTGCTGCTTGGAAAGGTCCGTAAAATGCCAGGTGACGCCTGACTTCTCGACTTTCTCTGGAAGCTCTAATGCACAATTGCATCAATACTCGAAAGATTCAAGCGGATTCATGAGAGCCCTGCAATGTTGATTGCTTCAGTGTCCCTTCCGATATGCCCGTGGACTCTCCGGGATGCTCCCGATACTTGGGCCTCCCCATTACAGCGACTTACGCCTTTTGCCTTTATTGGGACCCTAAGGAGCCCGAAAGCCGACCCAGAGTGCTCTTTCATGCAGCTCAGGGCCCCCTAAACCTCCCTCTGACAGAGTGACACTGAGCCACGCAAGGCGAGGGTTGTACGCCGCGATCAACTCCAGCCGCAGGGAGTCATCTTCATCCAATTTACCTAAGCCTTGAGTTGTTGGCAACCCCGTATTTTCCTCTTCTTCACAACCGGTAACATCAGTTGCTGATGCAGCCGCGTTTGCTGCGGATTGCACCGGCGAGCTCGTAGCAAGGCGCGAAGCGTTGTGAGTCACAAAAGGCCCATTGCGGTGCAAGGGACATGGGTCCTGCCTGCTTGCTATTGCCGCAAGACCAGCTATTGGAACCGCTGGTGGAGCACACTCTCGCTGATTGACTGTTCCCTGCTGTTGTGCTTGATGCTGCTGTTCCACCTGCTTGGGCTCTGATATTGCAAGAGCGGACGCCAACGGCTCTAGGGTAATCTGAAGGCGCCCAAGCTGTTGAAGTACAGAAGTTTTTTGTAAGCCTGTATAGTGCCACAACAAAGAGATAAGCTCCTAAGTGTGATTTCCATTTCTGTGCAACTTCAGAAATGACCCCAAAGGCCTACACTTCTGTCAGTAAGGCCGACTCATGAAGCATGTAGAATTCTTTGTCAGTAAAACACCCCTGATGTATCCGCCCTTAAGGCTAATGTGCTGCACTCTAGCTTTTGCATAATTCTCTTTGACACAGTCTGTGTTGTGCCGTACCGTATCCGGCCTTCTGCTGGTCGTCAGCCAACCCTTTCCCACGTTTCTCTGTGCTGCTGCCCTCCTGTTGGACACAGCCTTCTGGTGAGTCCTCTTTGCAGGGCCAGAGGCTGCAGAACAGCCAGCGGTTGCGCCTTCCCTGAAGGGAGCGGAGCTTCATCGCCATGGCCTCTCGCAACTTTTCAACGGAAAATACGTCCAACTCCTTGAATGGTGCGCAGCTGCAGAGCCGCCTACTGAAAGTCCAGCTGCAGCACCCTGAAGCACAACAGGGTCCTGAATCCCATGCCTGGGTCCTGACAGAAACACAGCCTGCTCTGCCTCTACCCTCGGTGGCCAACTCTGGAAGAAGCGCAGATCGCTGCACAGAAACTCCGACGCTTTGCAAACGCAACAAGAAGTCCTCGTCCTCAAAACCCCAGCCCTCATAGCGCAGGTCGTGGCCTGTTCAGTAACAAGTCCACAGTTTACACACAAAATCATGAATGTCAGGCAAGTTGCTCCAAGAGCCACCGTAAGTAACGCATCTGGGGGGTGTCTGTAATGCAAGAGATCATAATCAGGCATGGAAAGATTAAGCAGCGCTGATCGACGATCTAGAAACGTACCGTCAGCTTTCATGACGTCCTCAAGCCGCAGACAAACCACCATCGATAACGACCAAGGCTCCCCATACAGATGCCGCGCAACACCCACTTGAGGAGCCGGGAAGTAGCAGCCTGGGGCACTCCAGCACAACCCATCGACAGATTCATGCTTCCACACTAGCAAAAACAAAATACGGACGCCCATTACTTACAGGATACAAGTCAGCTGCAGTGTATACCTCTAACCAACAAAGGCCCTGACACCGCTTTCATACGGCAGCCCGAAATAAAGTCCCCACTAACAGTCCGCCAGTGGCACTTGTGATGTAAAACCCCCAGAGCAGCAGACGCTCACAGGGTCTCCCTAGTCTGGCCAGCTTGTCGAAGTCTTTTCCTCTAGGCACCACGTCCACGTCGTGCAGGCACACAAACACTCGGCGTGCAGTCTGTATCTTGCGGCATATCTCAACTTGGGAGTCCTGCCCCTTTTCCCTGAGCGGCCCCTCTCCGCTTTCTCCGCCTATATGGGTAACGTTTTGCCTTTGGCGAGGAGCTCCACACACCCTCACCGTACCAACCGCGGGTACATCGGATCCTATAGAAGACTGATGGGAATATTCACGATACCATCCTCGCTGCTGCGCGGCCCACAAGCAAGCAGCATTGAGCAACAAGCCTGCGCAAAGCACGGTATCACCCCAAGGTGCTCTGCTTCCTCAAGTATCGCTTTTGGGGGCTAGCCAAACACCACTTTACATACTACTGCTACGGGGGCCCCTGGAAGCCTCATGCTCGCAGGGAAAGCATAAACCACAGAATTATACCCCCCGTCCTACGACAACCCTTCTTTTGGGCATGGATGATGGTTTAAAACTGTGGTCTAAAAGCATCCCGTTCCTCCCTAAAGAATTAAGACCACGGAGCGCGACCAGCATGGACGGAGCTTCAAGGGGGAGAGGAGGCTAAGGAGGAGAGATCAAAAGAGAGAATATAAAGGATGAGTTTAATCGAGGAGTAGGAGAAGAAAAGAAGACTACACGCAACAGTCTACGTGGGGTTCTAAAAAATTGCCATGAATTCCTTTACTTCTGTGGAAAGGCCTCGAATCACGCTGTTCTGCTACGATGAAGCAGAAATCGGTTCTCCCGCAAGTCTTCCCCTCTCGCTGCTTCTGTTCTCCAGGGTCCTGCAGCAGTCCCTCAAGGTAGTCGGTCACAGTTCTTAGCATGAGCCTCAGATGGGCCCTCCTTCTTCTGTATGGTACAATGACAATAAGCATTTCTTCGGCAGGTGGAGATGCTGCCGCCGTCCGCTGGCTTGTGTCGAGGCTAGAATCACTTTTGGCCTGTTCAGCGGCAGCATTAGCAGCCACAAAGGGGAGGGGAGCTCTCCCAGGAACCACAGCCGGCATTCTGCCCCCCGAAATGGCACAAAGGTCCCCTCCAAAGCCCACAGTATCCATCAGCTGTGTGATTTGGGGACATCCAAATTTGTATGGGCTTGCACGCTGCATCAGCTGTGAGGTGCGTATGCACCAGAGCGCGCGACAGCGGCCATTGATACGGCCGCGAGCCAGTGCGAAGCGCGAAGAGCCAGCAAGTTTCCGAGCTCCCGTCCCCAGTGCAGTTTTCCTGCATCATTCCGTGGGGGGCTGGCAGGCCCTCTGGCAGTTTTCTGAACTATAAGCGGAGGAGGCCGAGAGCGACCAAAGAGGCGAAAATGACTGACGATGCCCGAAACTGCGATCCATCTGTTTTTGGCGTTCCAGCAAAGACATCTTAGCTAAGAAGTGGTAGAGGAGATAAGAAACAAGCAGAAAAATAGAGCCCATCACACCTGGAGACGCACGCAAGGATCTCACCGGGACCACCCCTTGCGTTCTATGACCAGCTCTTCACCGTCGCCCCCGAAGCGGTACTCTGCGCGTCTCAGGAGCAGCTTCTGTTTGACTTCGAAGGCTTCTTGAATGCTATTTCTTGATCCTTCGACGGGTTTCGTTAAATGCGCGTTTCCGAAATTCGAATTCCGGAGCAGCAAGTCCCCTGCCTCGATTCTAAGGCGCTTTATCGCCTTAGGAGCCCAACACCTCCAATTTTTTTAAATCCCTTGGGGAATCAGGTTGCAAGGATACTCTTCACCAGATCGACCAGGCCCTTGGCTGTGGAGAACTTGGCGCTCAAAGGGCCCAAGGGTCTCCTTGCGGTATCGCTGGGGACGCCTTGAAACCCGAGCTCTGCGTACCACGAAGGTAGCCATCAAATCGGCGCTCGACGGCAGCTGGAGGGGTGCCCTGATGCCTGTCGCAGCTCGGCGGCCCCTAGATGGCTGAGAGCGCCTCTTCTTGCAGGGGGCCCCCGGGGGCCCCCTACGCGTCATCCTGCAACCCCGTGGCCTTCAGCTCCGTAAAGAGCCATGGAACCGTCTGGAGAGCGAACCTTACAAAGGCTGCAGGTGAACGGGCGCTAGCTTGAAGCCCTGAATACGGCACACGCCAGTGTGTGTGCCCCCTGCCTCCTTTAGGGTTTGCATCTGGCATGTGACCCACACAAGGAGCTGCCCGTGAACGAAGGCTCTGGGTGCGGGTGCATTGGGGAATACTATTTGGCGTGCCATGCGGTGCCCTTCTGCGAGCAGCCTTCTGCACAACAGTGGCAAGTGCGACCTTGTCAAGGGATGGCCGGCAGCTGGCTCTCTGCGATGGCAGCACGCTTCTTACCCTCGATGTAGCGGCAGCAGCAAATTCTGAGGCTGCAGCGCCCTATAGAGGGTCGCTCGCCTCTCCAGTCGGCCTCTTGCGAGTCTCAGAATGTCCAGCAGCCGCCGTGTCTCCTCCGAAGAGCTCGCCTACGGAGGCTCATGGGGAAGGCCTCGTCAGGGGCCCCTCGCAGGTTCAGCAGACAGTTAGACAGATGCTGACGGCTACACACACCCTGGATCAGAACCGTCGGTAAGCCGATGGCTGATGTTCTGCACTTGAGAGGTTCGAGCAACCGATCAGCTGCCCTCTGACTCCTCCTGCCGGTGCTGGGACTGCTGTGGCGCGTCGGATGCCGTTTCGTTTGCTCCTCAGCGTACACTGCATCTGTTGGCTCCCCCCCTTTCCCATATCGGAATTTACGCAACCCGCACTAAGGGGGCCCTCCGGTATCAGCCGGCGTTGTATTGCCGGGTTGCGGGGCGATGCCTGCCGGTGTTTGGCTGTGACGACGCGGGACGGCAGCGTCTCGCTGTGGCTTCACAAAGAGAAGGAACTCCCGCTTCCCCAGGTAAAGCTGCAATGATCATCTCCAGGAAGGGCGGCAGCAGCACCGAAACAGCGGACGAATGAGCGCTGAACGAGGTGCTGGAGACTGCTGCCCGTGTCTCGAAGTGCTGAGTCTCAGGGCGCTAGGTCTTAAGGGGAGGTAACTCCTGCAGTGCTAGGGCCCACCGAATGCCCCAGACCTCGAATCCATGGCTGTGCCTTTCTCTTGTCAGACGCGACCTCCTGCTGCGTTTTGATGCCCTTGGTCGCAGGCCCTAACCCTTGCTGTCGACTTGGGCGCTGCATGGCGGCAATACAATAGCGTCGAGACCTCACACCAGAGGCTCCTAGCTGGCCCTCTCGTGCATAGCTGGCACTGTGTGCTTTCGACAGCGCAACAAGGCAGTAACGGAGGCCATCACTGCGTACTGAATCCGTTCAGGGTCTCCTTGAGCAGTTGCGGGGCGGCCGCAGGGCTGGAAGACCCCCTTGTTGCCGCACCCGCTGTTGCTCTCTGCTGCCCATGCCCCCGAAACCGCCCGCAACAAAAAGACGCGGCAGGGAGACAACCCGATGTCAGCAGGATCAGCAACAGTGCCGCCGCCAGTAGCAGGGGCACTGACACACTCACTGGCTACGGTGTCTTCAGCGGTTCACTTGTTGCAGTGGCATCGCGCAGTTTCATTGCGCTCTTCCTGGTTAGCGGATCCCGTATGAGTCACAGCACCTGCGAATCATCGCCGGCCGTCGATAGCACTAGCAACACCAACACTCTCAGCGGCCTTCGCAAGGGGAAGATGGGGCCTTCGCCTCCTGGTGACCCTTGTGAGCCTGCACCCTCTCGGTTGAAGTATCAGTATCCAGCGGCCCCTAAGCGCTCCCTTTCCATTTCAAAAGCTCTTGAGAAACAAGAGGACGATGTGGGCCTGGGACGGCGACCCCGCCGTGCAGCTACAACGAGGGCGCGCGCTGCAGTCAGCGCTGCGCTCTCCGCTGAGCAGTGTAGTGATGCCGAGGCTACAGCACAGCAACCAGTGGGGAGTCAAAGAGGTGGCAGAGGGAGGAATCATGCGGCTAGGAGCGGTGTGAGGACTTCCTTTTCGCACGATACCGGGCCGCCTTCAAGCGTCACAGATAACGGAGAGGCGCCGGTTGTTGAATCACCCCGTGGACGTGTTCGTGGAGCTGCCGTATCTGGTGAAGGGAAGGGTCCGCGGCAAGGCGGAACCAGGAAAGGCACCCTTCGGAGAAAAAAGCGGCAGAAAGAGACCTCAGGGTCCTCAGCGTCGTCTCCCAGCTTTGTGGGATCTGATCCACCCAGCAGCAGCAGCAGTAGCGCTAGCCTTACTGAAAGCAGCAGTGTAGAAATTGGGGATAGCGACTCAGGAGAGGATGCCGATAGCAAGGCCCCACCCCGTAAGAGGAAACAGGAGACGCAGAGTGTGCAGGTCTCACGAAAACGTGCAGTCGCAGCAGCAGCAGCAGCTGCTGCTGCTGCAGAGTCAAGTGGCGGAGCTTCCTCGAAGCTCACTGCGGAGGCAGAGCAGCGGCAGCAGAGGTGGCGCCGAGCAGCAGGTGCTGCAGTTCAGGTAGGAGATCTAGAAAGGGCTTCTGCTACAGCTGGGTTGCTGCAGCCCCTTTTACTCACGGTCCTAGCCATTCCGAGGCCGGACAGCGCTCGCAGCAACGACAGTGACAGCACAAGCCATGATTGCGAGTGGGCATCTCCTTCACCCCCCCTGCTGGGTGTTATAACAGACCTAGCCGTGAGCCGTATTCATGTGCGGCGTGTCCATGTGGCGGGAGCCACGCAGGTGCCCTCAGGGAGTCTCCGACAAACGGAAATTAGTGAATGCTTTACCGGCGAGGCACCGAATCTATCAAATGATGCCACTGAGCAGTCTTCCTCATCAGAAGGAACAGCCACTTGCTGCTCCTGCCAAGTCTTCGCTGCTCTCAGTAGTGGTGCTATGTGGAGTTTTGGCTGCGCCTTCGAGTTGTGGGCTACTCAACGGGAGACCCTGAGCCCTACTGCTGTAGGAGGCCACTCGGATACGGAGTTCGTCATAGGGGCGGTTACTGCAGCAGAGCCGCAGCTGTTGTTCCCTTCCGTGGGAATCCCTAGCGGATTTTTGCAGCTGGCAGACATTAGTGATGCGCTGCTGTCCGTGGAAGACACGGGACACATATCATCGGCAGCAGCGCCAGCAGATAGAGGTCAGGCATCTGTAATGCCAAGCTCTTTATTACCGATTCATCAGCAAGGACAGGATGATGCGCTTCTGTCCAGCTGGCAGGTCGCTGCAGCTATCTGTGGGTCTCGTTTGCGCGTTGCCTTGATCCGGAGATCTGCCGCGCCTGCTGCTGGCAACGGCAGCGATGGTAGGAGCTCGACGCTGACCCCACACCCCGTAGTGGCACGAGCCGAGGCGTCTGTCTTCGCTCTCGGATTTCAGCGTGGTTTGGAGGGCCCCATTGTCGGTCTCAGCATTCTTCCTCAGGTCCCCCTGGATTTGGTGAGTTAGTTCAAATGCGAGGGAGTATGAGGGTGTGCGCGGTCTGGGAATTTGGGAGCGCCGAGTCTTCACAATGTGTGAACAAGTACAGTAGGCCAATTCGGTCGAGGGAGGTGACGCAGAGCTGCGTAGTGAGCTTGTTGAGGGAGCCTGATGTTCATTCTTACTTGTCTCTAGCCGCTTGCATCTGCCCTGTTGAAGGTCGACGCCACTCATGGGTAATATATGTAGGTATACGTACATATTGGTGAACCATTTCTGCAATCTGGGGCTGGTGTATGTAATGTTCGTCTCTTCGTTTCTGCTGTGATTACTCATTATCAGGCAGCAGCAGCGGCGCAGCAGGTGCCAGCCCTGAGACGTGAAGGCCGCTCCTTCCTCCTGCTCTTAGCGGCCCTTCAAAAGGGCGGACTGCTGCCATTTGTGCTCTACCCGGACTGCGGAGCTGAGACCCTTGGTAGCAGCAATAGCAGTTCTTGCAGCGCCAGCATCAAGAGTATCGGGAAGGGGGCACCCTGGGTCTTGCAGCCACTCTCTCCTCTGACGTCCCCACACCGCACAGGCCGCATCGAGGACCTCCTGATGCCACGTGCCGCCTATTCCTTTAGGCCTCTGGCTCCCAATGCTTCATCACCAGACATATTATTGGCGGCCTTAGCAACAGCGAAAGCCACTTCAGCTGTAATTCCTCCCAGTGCTGGTGGAGAGGCTGCTACACCACGCAGATGCGAGCAGCAACCGCAGTCCAATGGGTTTTCTGCTCTAGAGACGCAGCATCAGCAACAACAGAGGCAGTGGCAGCAACTGGAGACCCGTAAGGACAACTGGGCAGAGGACGGAGACCCTTCCAGCACTCTGTGCCCACCCAGCGTGAGGGCTCGCAGGGTCCACAACCTCTTGAGCCGCCGCCTGTTAGGTACGTTCTATTGGGTTTCTGGAGAGTCTCGTTTGGTTTACGGACCCCAGCAAGGCACGCGAATCCTGTTCGGTGCATCTTTCATGATGTGCATGAGGAGTCTGATTCTCTAGACTGACAGCTCTTTTATGGATGGTCTTAGCGTGACGGTTGCGTTGCCATTCAGTCTGGGACAGCCTAACACGCCTGCAGTCTTCTCGTTTACTGGGGAGGTCCTAAAGGCCTTTTCGGATCCGGAGGTCTAGACTTGCTGCTAGGCGTTGGTATGCGAAAATTAATCAGTCTCTGTCATGTGTGTCTTCCTGTCTATTGCTTTCTCAGCGCTAATGCCATCCCAGTGCGGCGCTCTGCTATTCCTAGTAGTCCAACAGAACGACGTGCACCTGCAGCTCGCTGTTGCGCCTCTTACCGTTTCCCCGGCCGTCGTGGCCCTGCACTCCCTCAAGACCCATCTTCTTGAGCTCCTGGAAACTGCAGGGGCTGTAGGGCTGAGTCAGCCGGAAAGAGGTGCCTCCGAGCCTCTCTGTGCATTTAGGAAAGGAAAGGAACTAAACGAGGACTCTAGCGCTGTTGCTTCGGCCGCTTCTGTGGCACGCTGTTGCGTGGACGCGCAGGGCCTGTGGGCTCTCCACTTGGCACTGAGAGGCCCCTTTCAGCGGCCACCGAATCCGGGACGGCCGGCCTCGCGTGCTTCTGGAGAAAAGGGAGGCCCTGGGAGCGAGACCCCGTCTAAGAGGCGCAGCGGCAAGGAGACTCTACCCCGTGAATGGTTGAGTGACGAGGAGGAACTCTCAGCGGCCTCCGATGAGAAGGACCCCACGCTGGGGGCAGCTCACGTGGAAAGGATCTCAGGGCTGCCCTCTTCCTCAGGGATCTTAGGAAGTCCGGGGGCCCCATCGGGTAGTGCCAAGGAGCTAAGTTCACACTCCGCCGCAGCAACAGCGGTGTCTCTGAGAGAGCTCTTTTGGAACAAGCACGCAGAGTCGTCACACATCGTGCGCCCTGAAGGCTTTTCCGGGACCCCAGCGGCCGTGCGAAGCGTCCTCAGACGTATCTGGGGAGAATCCTTGCAGGGAGAGCCTGCGGCCCTCGCGCAGTTTGACATTGGGTATCTTTGGTCTGCGCTGCTGGAAACACTTGAGGCTGCCTCCCTCATCCGCTTTCTGGGCCCTGCAGGAGCAGAACCTGCAGCTACTGCGGCAGCAGAACCAGCCGCAGCAGCTTCCGCTACAGAAGTGGAGACGAGTGGGGCTGAGGCACCAACCGATTTGTCTGGTGTTGCTGAGGGAGGTCCTGGGTCTCAGGTGTGCCTCAGGGAGTTCTGTTGTAAGTGGCACGTGGCAGCTATCCGCCGGAGGCGCCTTGAACTGCAGTCTCTCTCTATGTGGCTGTCTCGCCTCTTCGCCGCTTTAAGAGATGGCCCTCTTGGGCGCCAAGCCATCCTTCTGTTGCTTCAGCATTTACGGGCAGTATCTGCTTGTCTAATGCCTCCCCACTCCTTTTCGGCCAGCGCATCCCTGTTAAGAAAGGCTCCACCTAGCCCTCAACGGTTGGCGTCACTGGTGCTCTCGCAAGCACCTGTCGTCGAAGCAGAGTTACCAGAGCGCTTTTCACGAGAGGAGCCATTAAACGGCAGTAGCTGCGATTTCGAAGAAGCTACTGCACCTGGTCAGGCTTCCTGGCGCTGCGTCTCTTCACCACCACAGGTGATCACAGTGCAAGACGCAAACGTGCAGGAGTTTTTGTCAGATGCAGCTTGGTGGGTGAGCCCTCAAGGAGTAGCAGCTGCTGCGGCACGAAAGCACGGAGAGGCCGTTCTTCCAGCGTGTCCTCTATGCAATGAAGAAGGATGCAAGAGCTCGGATTCCTTCCGTTGCTATGTGTGCTTGGCCTACGGCCATCGCTTTCCGGCTTGTGCCCAGTGTCTCAGGTGTCTGTTCACCGGAGGAAAGGGCTGTGCGGGCTCACCGTTGCCGCATATAGCTCGCTCGTCTGCTCTTGCAGCTGGGGGAGGAAGGGCAGCATCAAAGCTGACAGAAAGTGGAGCTACGGGGCACAACCTCTCGTTCTTTTACTGTCTCCTCTGCGGAGCTTTCGTGTGTGGCGGCGAGTTGCCTGAGCCCGGAGCCTCTCAGGGGTGTGGTTGGGCTCCCGAGGACGCCGCCTGTGCACGCAGCGGGCGGTGTTGCCCCCTCTGCAGGGGAGTTCTCCGCCTGGCAAGCGTGGCAGAGTGCTGTTCCAGAGTTTGCCAGTAGGACCGTCTTTAGGTGCGCGCCTTCGGGTCCTTTGCCGCGTCTTCGCATGCTTCGCGGCTATCTCGTGGCGAAGGGTTCCTATCGCTTCTTCTCACGACCATAGAAAGCAGCGGCGAGAACAAGAGGATGGGAAGAAGGGGGACAGGCACCTCTCTTCTCCTAACAATTGTTCCGTTCGCAGACAGTGTCTGTTACACAGCTGTCAACTGCAGCTCAAAAGCTGCTGTTTGGACTTTACCATATCGCAATCTACCTGATATGTCTAACAAGGACAGCCCATTTGATATGGGATTTGCGTATTTTCCCCACCCGCACTATTTACAGGGCGCTCACGCCCCTTAGCTGTTCCTAGGGATTTAAGCCCTCCGGGCCCTTGGGGGCCACACAGCGGGGTGGCAGTGGGAGTTGTCCCAGTTCATACAGCAGCCAAAAACGAACTGCAGCGTCGAGAGGGTAGCTTTCCTGTCACCCCCCTATAAACAAGCGCGCCGATAGGCTACTACTAGCTTATGTTTACACTGCCTAAGAGGAACCGCAAGCTTCACGGTGCACGGTTTCCACGGCATTCCGGTACGGTCCCTGTAGGTTTACTACAGGAAAGGTCCCTTGTCGATTTCGCAGAAGAAGATGACGGCGTCGGAGGTGAGGACACTAATTCTGTTACATGTTCTCTGGGGAACACAGAAGGAACCGCGCAACGCAGCAAAAAGAGAATCTGGGGTTTTCCGCCAAGAAAGGCGTATTCTCATGGCAGCAGCCCTCTCAGCTGCAGGCACACTCTTTTGCAGCAGCAGCAACAGTAACGGCTTCGATCTTGCCGCTCACAATGTTTGAAGAGCTGATAAGCTCGCCCATACAGAGCGTATTTCCATGCAAGTCCCAGCGCAAGCCTTCACTCTTTATGCTCCGTACCCTTCCCGCTGCAGCAGAGCCCCAGCACCAGCAGTGGTAGCATCATCTCTAAGGGGCGAATAAAAATGCCCAGTACGCCGTAGGAACAGTCAGCAATACACGTTGGCACTCAGGCTTTCCAACAAGGCCATCGTCTCTATTGCTGCGCCGAAGCCGCGCCTACCCAGTGGCAACAGCCCGCAGGCCTCCGTAAATACCCCATCGGGAAGGAGTATCTCATGCTCTCCTGCCTCTAAGAGAATGCAAGCATTATAGCCCCCAAGCAGCAGTACCTGAGCGGATAACACAAAGAAAAAAAGCCTTGGACGGAGATGCAGCATACAGCGCTTTGCGAGACGCACGATGCATGGCCTCAAATAGGAGGGATGCGCAGATGTAGTGTAGGGCCTTCGCTCCAGGAAGAATATGCAGTGATACAGTTCCTCAGGGGCATACATAGGCCGAACAGCGTACTTTTGGCGGAGCCCGCGTTGCGGCACTTGATGCCTTGTGGATTTTATGTAGGAAACTAATTGAGGCAATCGAGTGATCAAATCTCCCGCCAATGGCGCCTGCAGCAACACAAGCACAAGCACATCTGCGGGTCTAGGAAGGAGGGACAGCACGTGCGAGTACATTTTCTTCTTCCCCCTGTAGGAACAAGAGGCAAGAGCCGCCACCATAGAAGGCGGCAGAGACAATACCCGACTTTCATGTCGAGGATCAGGACAGCCTCTATGTAATATGCCTTCGTCGGTTGCTGCCGCTGTCCGCGTTACAGCCCTTGCAGAGAAAAGGGAGAGAGCCGAGCGTTCGGAGATATCCGTGCAGTCTCCTCCGCACATGCACACAGGGTGACGAGCTGTGGCCACCACAAGCGGGGGCTCAGGTTGCAAGAGGAGGATCTACTAGGTCAAACCGGAAGAGTTAGCACCAGCCGAAAAATGCACGGGAGACAACCCAGGGAGACTATCGCAGGCATACATATCAGAGGGACGCACGCCAGGCATTGCACCCACCCACAATAATAACCGTATCTTGGGGACGGAAGTTGTGCTTTTCACAAGCAAAGGCAAAGGCCTTCTCGAGATCTGGTTTGTCCTGATCTTCGAGACGGACTACAGGCACTCCTCGCGCGGAAAAGAAGGAGAGTGCCTGAGGGCAGAGCGAGCATCAGAAGCAAGCGAGGAGTACGGACACCGGATGCGTATGCGAGAAAGGGAGCACGAGGCAAATGGCGGCAGACAAACAGGCGCGTACGTAGGAAGATGCATGGAAGACCGAGAGCTGCACAGGTAGCCATTCGCTCGTCCACCAACCCATCTTGCGGCGTGTATACTTCGAAATGCACAGCCGCATACTGCCTTGTACGACAGCACAGCAACATGTGGCGGCAGCGTGAGCATACGGCCGCCCTATAGAGAGTTCTGTGCTGGGTGCCTCCATCCCCCTATGTAAGTGGGCTCGACTGAACGACTGAGAAGGAGGGCGAACAACGTACGTACACACGGCTGCGCCCTATCAGGCCTAAGGACTCTGTGCTGCTGCGCAGCGCCCTACTGCGTGCTTCTGTACACACCTGTCGGCCCAGAGAATCGATATCGCCGCAGATGCATGTTGGCAGAATCGGAGGATTGCCACCCGCATCCCTAGCAGGCCCACCAGCAGAGTCCCCAGATCGGACTGGGGGCTGCTTTTCGGCCTTTTGGCAGCGTGAATTGGAAAGTCGTTCTGACCCTTGTCTGCATGTAAGCGGCTGCTGTGGCTTGTGTTCAGCAGCGCGGTACACGTGCAGCAGGTGGTTCGCCGCACCATCCGCTGCGATGACTAGTGAGGCGCTTTCCAACATCCGATCAAAGTAGGCGGGGAGAGGTCGATTCAGAACTAGCAGAATGATCCGTCCCTTGTCTTTAAAGTCAGCAGGAGATGCAGTCGCAGCGGTAGAAGAAACACAAGAGGATGGCTCCTCTCCCGGCAATGCACTGGTAGAACGTTGGTCCGTGCTGCTGGGCTTGAACAGGTGCTCGAGTCCGCGAAGGTCGTGAATGAGGGACGGATTCCTGCTCTTGTTGCTGCTAACGTGTGTGCTGTAATTATTTTTATCGCCAGCTGGCTTCAAAGGGGCGCTGGACGCAGCTTTCACAACGAGCTCCCTAGAGGGTGCTGTCTTCCCTGTAAAGCGGCTGCAGAAAGCGTATTGCGAGCACATACTCTGCTTGTCTACGCGGAGCTTCCTACAGCACAGAAGAGGAACTGCCCTCAGGTACCCTTCCATGGCAAAGGGGGGCAGCGATTGCATTCTCAGCCAGAGCATCTGGGGAGAGAAAGCGCAACCGGCGATAGGGCTGTATGGGGGTTGGGCAGCAACAACCCCGCTGAATCTCTGCGAAACAGACCCTATGAGAGGAATGTGCCGCAAGAGCAGCTGCCAAGGTGCTGCCTTTGGGGAAAAAGCCAGATGTCCACTTTGAGGAGATGCTGCTCGGGAGGATGGATTGTGTTCCCTGAAGTGCTCGCTGGAGTGTGAGGGAAATCGGGTGGAGGGGTGACTTGAAGTGGCCCGGGTAACACCGTGCGGCAGGAACAGTATTAGAAAGATATACACACAAACTAGCAAAGGACGTGATGGATAAGACGAACAGAAGGCGGGAAAGAAGAGCATGGCGCTTTTGGCCAGGGCGGAACCGTCCGTGTTTACTGAGGCATGGAAATAGGGATTCACGGATAAGCTGTTTTGAGGGAAGTGTGTTTCGTGGAGGGCTGGAACGACCCAGCCCTCTCAGGCGACGAAGTAATAGGCAAAACCAGTGGAAATGGGGAGGCAAACGACCACAGGAAAGATTTTACTTCGACGCAAAAGCCAGGATCGCATTATACCATCAATGAAAAAATCAGAAATGGCATATGTAAGTCTTATTGCCTGTACAGCTGGGGATAAGCAAGAGGGAAGAGAATACAGCAAAGTCAGCCCAATACGAGCAGCATTTCCTAAAAGCACAGGGTAAATTTGATACGAGCACAAAACCCTGGCTAAATTATATTATAAAGAACACAGGAATTCCTTATTTCTCCCGTTTACCCGAAACGCCCTCTCCTCATTTCTGTGATAATTATACATCGAGGTGTCGTCTAGACATCTGACTCTCACATGAAACTTGAGTCGGCTCGAATACCAGGGGCTCATTAATAAAGACAGACGCAATATCCATGGCATTACTCTGTGATCTAGTGTCATTTATCGCACGGAGCCTAAAACCGATGTGGGGCTGACAAAAAAGCCGAAACCGGCAAGGGCTGCTTGTTTATAGTAATCATCATCAACAGACGATCCCGATTAAGTAAACATATGATAGAAAATACATTTGGTAACCAGAACCGCATACGGCTTGCTACAATTAAGCCCGTAATTTCCCAATAAAAAATTGTCCGTCCCCAAGTCGCACAAACTTGAATCGGTCGTATTCGTTGGTTGGGCGGCCATGCGACTAACAACACTGACGAATAAGTCTCTACCAATTCCGTTTAGGGGCCGCTTCGGCTTCTTCCGTAGGATGCATGAGTGGCGACGCCGATTCATGCACACGTAGAAAGCTACCATTGCTAGAAAGTGTGCTTTGGCATCAACAAGATCCGACACACACGCATCAATTCGAGTGTGTGTCGTCAGGAGGGTAGCCACCGTAGCTGTGTCCACGCATTTATCCAACAGCTGAGGTGTAGTAGACCTTTTGCTTCGAAGGTGAGGCGAGATGGAAAGAGCCCCATCTGCCTCGATTAGCTTCACTGCAACGCTCCACCTGCAGTCTCCTTGTCAAGACACATGGCTCCTAAATCAACACAAACTTAAGTAGGAGTTGTTGAGTTTATTCAAGGATGTTCCAACATTTTCTACTGGCGCCTCTCACAGTTCTCGACATGAGAAGACAGGTATACCTATGCTACGCTTTGCTGCACCGTCTAAGCACTCCTGGCAATTGCAGCCAACTGCACACAGCATCTGGCTTACGGCGACAAAAAATATCGTCCTCCTCTATTGTGCTAGAGCTATGCTGCAATATATTAGGCTTACAAGCAAACACACGAATTGGTCAACTCTTTTCGCTCTTTTGTTGAAAACAGCTAGTGTACTAGAATGTGTTGAAGCACAGCTTATCCCATTGCAAGCACTGTGATGCATCACTCCAGATAGTGGCAATTAGCTTTCGTCCATCTGCAGCGTCTTGGGTGTGCAGCCAGCCTATGAACATGCAACGTAACCAGCTAGTGTGTACGTGAAGCCTATCACTGATCTCTAGCACCGGGATCGTCGTAAAATACAGAGTAACTTATAAAAAGCGCTCGGAAAACGTCCACTTAAGGTGCACATCCTCATGTCCTTAATGCTCAATCCCATCCCAGTGAGCAATGGTAATTATACCTGGAGCGTATGAACTCTTTCCGCAAAAGAAGTCGCTCCCATCTCGCTTTGCTCTAACTTGGACCCCTACGATATATTTCCCAGAACTCGGTACTAATTTTCAAGAACATGTGCACATGTTTACCCAAGCCTTCCACGACTTGACCTCTGGGCTTTCACAGCTGCGTTTCCCTTTGCTCAGATCGCAATGCAGTGTAGCAAGTGCCTCTATACTTGAAAGCCTGCACTCGGTAAATGATGTGTGACCATGTGATCGGGGATCAAGATCCGTAAGAGACCCTCTAGCCATCCACTAAGATCACAAGCCCCATTTGTGCAGCAGTAATCGCCAGCCCCTGACGCAGCAACGCACTGGTCTCCGGCTAGGCAAAAGTCTTTTAAAATGCGGCGTTGGCCTTGAGATTCCTGCCATTCACAGGAGGTCCATCAAGCAGGGCTGAACAGGTTAGGTTACTGCAAGACTGTGCTTTTCATAGAAGGAGGCAACTAAGGCTCCTACTTTCGACAGACTAGCTGTTGGCGAGACACTGTTTACTGGCTCGCCTTGCTGCACGCAGTCCCTCAGTAGACCTTTACTTTTTGCAATGTCCTTTCCTGTTAACCTCAATGCTTGGCGCTACCAAGAAAATGGAATGGGACAAGAAGTCGCCAAAAAAAACACTTGCACGAACGCACGAAACGCTCCTTTGATGTTCCGTACCATGCGGCTAGGGGCGCTTCAGCACGCGTGGTGGTACGGTCGCCAGACGGTGGCTTCGCATAAAGGCGTAATTTATCCCCCTGCGATGCTCAGCGTTCTAAAGTATCAGTCCAACAGTCGCTTCTCCCCATCGCCTTTCTCAGTCCGGAGAACCGTCACGAGAACTGCGCGAAGGGTGTAAGCGTCTTCTGCAGCGTTTTGCCGCATTGTGGTGCTGCTGCAGTGCCAAGCGACCGTAGAATCTACCGTGGCAGCGCTCGCAAGACATCCACCTGAAGTCATACGGGCACAGCGCTTTTATGGAGAGGTTACAAGAGCAAACGCAGTGCACCAGAAGGAGAGACAAGCAAGGAGCCGAGAGAGGAGTCTGTGTCTGCACTTGTTTGCACAGGAGAAACGGGCCTGGCACCGCCTCACACATTGGCTTCGCTTCCAGTGTCGCTCTCTTTCGAAGTAGAGCCCCTCAACTTTATGGCCTCTGCCGGCATACGCACACTAAAAAGAGGATCTCGCATTGCCTTCTGGGACGAAGCCTTCCCGTAAACGAATCGAGCTAATAAAATTATGGATGGCACGCTGTTTTTGTGGTATGGGATTGCTATGACGGTCGGCGAACACGCTTCTAGGAAGAAGTGATATCAGACTCATGGAAGAACCTCACCTGGCATCTGCATGGCAGCGGAGAGCTCGGCCGATTCAGCGAAGGGCCGCCCCTCAAGGAACTCTAAGGCCCCCATCGCACAAGCATAAGTATGGATATGTATACATATGCACGCAACAGCTTAAGAGAATGGTAGAAAAGTCAATATTTTCTCCATGCGAGCATGTGAATAGCGGATATTACTTGTCAACAACAAAATTTAAGGGGCGCAGTAAGAACCGAGGCAGCACACGCGTGCAAGACTGTCTTGGAAAAAGGCAAAGCAGCAAGTAGTAATGTGCCGGAGAAGTGAAGCTCTGCAAAACCATTGTCTCGACTGAGAGCATTGCTTGCATATGGCAGCCCTTTGATACGCGGAAACACTGAATGGGCCCCGAGCGCGACTTCCTCAAAGTGCCCTAATTTGAATCAAGGAGCACCGAGGAAGACATGAAAGCTTAAGCATGAGAGGCCCTACTAAAGATGCTGCAGAACACTATAGCGCGCAGCAAAAGTTGCTTACCCTCGACAATCCGTAGGGCAGGGCCACAGACACTTTCCTTCCACGATGCAACAGCTGCTGAGGCGAAGACGATCACAGGCCGCAGCAGTACACAATAGTAGTGCACTGCTGTGAAGGACGAGGAAGCCACCGTAGCTGCTCTAAGCAACGATTCTCTAACAGCCAACACGAAACTCAGCCCAACCCAACAAACGGCCTCAAGGGAAGCGGATTCTGCGGCAAGGATCCATCCATACCATCGGTCGCCTCCAAATAGTAAAGCGGGACATTCCGCCTTCTGATGAGAAACTTGTTCTTTATCCATTTCCTCTGCTGCCGTGCATATTGGAGCGACCGTAACACTACCAAGTCCACGCAAGACTCCAGGGTGGGACACTCCGAAGGATCTCCACGGCTTCCAGACCCAAGCTCCCCACCCCTTCGTGGCAGTATGACAGGGAAAAACTCCTTGTAACCTTATGACCCAGCAGACAGCAGGCAACCCAGCAGAGGCAACGAAACGCGCAGAAAAATATATGACTGCGAAATTCCCCGACTCGCTCGCTGTGAAGGAAAGAAGGCCAGGGGAGAGAGCCCAAGGTTCCGAGCTGCTGGGTTCCTAGCTCACCAATGCCTTGCAAGACGCCCCGCCGCCACCCTTCGCTGCTTCGCCCTCTATGGCCTCCCGATGTAGCATCGTTGGTTTCGCTAGCCGCGCTAGAAGAGTCCTCTGGCGAGCCCCTGGACTCATCTGGAGGCCAGGTGCGCAGCTGCAGCTCTTTTGCTAGCCACCGCACCTCGTTAAGAAGGCCATCCTGCAGAGGTCGCGCCCTACGCCATCAGACAGCTCGATTTTCGGTGATCCATGCCCTCCCCGTTCTCTCGCCACTCCAGCTCACCCACAGCATCTATCCAGAGATGAAAAACAAGGACTATATTTGTCGATTGGCTCGTGATCCCGCTTCACGCATACCCCTTAAGAGCAAGTAAGTACTCCCTAGCAAGAAGGCTTTCGACGATGGAAAGGAGGAGGTCCAGGCTTCCTGCCTTTATGCTGACCTGACACATTTGCGCTAGCCGCTGACGGAGGCGGCGTTCATGGGATACGCGGTCCGGAAGATCGAGCCAAAAGATACAGGCGTCATACCTTAGCATACCCCGACAAGACATGCACAAAGCGGCTAGACGCTGATGCAAGGCTGAGGAGGGGATTCAAGGCGATATGCCCGCAGACCTCGTGAGAAGCGTTGCCTGAGTGTCTGCATGGGAATGGCAGAGCTGTAGCCTCTCACCGCATCTTGCCAGACGTGTGCTGCTCCATCAAGGTGCTGTGCGGCACTCCAAACTGGTGAGCCACCTGATGGCAACGCAGTAGGCACAATGATCGCCCGCCCATTTGACCTCGTGCGCAATAGGAGCAGCAGCAATAGCAGCGCAATAACAGCAGCAGCAAGGGCAGCGCAGGGTCAAGACGGTGGGTGGGGTGGCCAAAGTGCAGGCGAACGGATTTGTCTAAAGAAGGCCAATTTTATTGCCGCGGCTTGCATGACGTCGTGTTCGGGGCAAAATGGATTTAGAAGCTTCACCTGAATGCTGCGTATGACGCGCCGCCGATCGCGGGGATGCAGCTGCTTTGCCTGCAGAAAAACGTAGAGTAACGGGTGATAACCTATATCCGTGTAGAAGGGCCTCTACGACGCTATTTCCAGCGCAGAGGACACAGGCGCCAACCCGCTGACCCGCTTGCTGTCAAGGCGTTGCAGCAGTTCCATCAGTTCCTCGTCCGTCATCTTATTTACTGCAAACACAGGAGACATCACGAAGAGAGGGAAACGGCAGAGCGCAAGTGAAGCCTTGACATGCATCAGAGGGACGGCCTTCAAAGGCACGCGTGCGGTTGCCCCAGCTGTACGCACAACTCCCCCTGGCAATAGGGCGCGAAGTTCTGCTGCCTACATGCGGCTTCCGAGGGTTGAGCAGTATTAGGGTCCGCAACGCCCGCCGTTCCTACGCTGTCTGTTGCTGCACGTGCTTGCGCTGCCGCAGGTGCTGCTCCGTCCACACTGTCCTGCGAGGGGTGGGAGACGTCAACGGCGGACTCCCAAAGGAGCAGCTCAATATAGAGCTGAGTGCCTCCCACCACCACCGGCAGATTCCCCTTTGCCCAGAGGGATGTGATCTGCAAAGACATCCAACCCCACACGCTCGCTCCATAAGGGACCCTCGTGGCTCCCAGTGAGGACATTGTCCGCACCCCCCCCCCTCCCCCCCCCCGCCCGCTGCACCATCGCAAAGGGAAGGAAGCCGTGAAGGCGAAATGCTGTTTGGAGAGATGAGAGAAGACACGGAATGTCCTGCGCGAGCGAGGCCCTCTATTTACCCAGAGGGGGCCCCCTGGAGCGCGAGGTGCTTCGGCACTCACAACCTGCTTTGCTGCGCTTAGATAATCGGCGGCCGAGAAGGGGCACTGGGGGTCGCAGACATCCAGAAGATGGTGCGGGACCAAGCGTCGCTCTGCGGCTGTAGCTTTCGCAGTCGCCACGTCACAGCCCCTATACACCTACACCCATTATAGCAGCCAACACAGATTCCCTAAGCGAGCTAGCTTCCCACTTTCCGTGGTGGGGCTGTCTGCATGATCTATAGAAAAGCGGTATCCCGTGTTGATGCTGTCGTGGGGAAAGCTTGTGCGTTACCTGCATGGAGTCTGCACTGATGATTTCCGCGTTGACCCCCCGCGCTTTGAGAGCCAAACAGATATCAAAGGCAAGACGAGACTTGCCAACACCCGTGGGTCCTATCACAAAAAGGACTTTGGGAGGTTTATCCGAGGCCATCGTTAGCATGGTAGGCGGTACGGAAGGTGCAGGGATCTCTGCACGAGAGGCTGTCGCTGCCTCTGCGGAGTGTGCCAGTGTCAAGGAACCCTCGATGCACCGTAGAGTTCCTCCGGCTGCAGAAGCCCTGAGAGGCATCCAACTGCTGAGTCCAGCGCGGAGGGTAGCCTTGAAAGGTACTCCAGTATCCTGCTGCGGGGAGGGCCTCAGTTGTACGGCCCCCGTACCTGCCACCCTTGCCGCCCTTGCCAAAGGCACCTTTATAGATCCGGTGGCGGATATGAAACTAGCGGGGGGCTGCGCCGACAACGGAGGCAACGGATCCTGCGATGAAAAGAGGAGGCTTGAACTTTGCAACAGCAAGATAAGGGCAAAAATCGGTACTTTGAGCCCTTGCATGCTGCGCTGCCCTTCCGCCCTTCGCTTCCCTCGTTCCAGAAAATGCGTTCAGATAATTTCTCAAAGACGCCTACATAAGGACATTTCTTAAGTGATGCTCTCCACGAAGTGCCAGATTCTCTCGCCTTCTACGCAAGAAGGCGCAAGTGTCTTGGATCCTCGATCCCAGGAGAAAAGCCCTGGGCCACCCGCGATGGTCAGTGAGCGATGATACTGGAGTTGCTTAGCTTTGACCCAAAAGAAACTAAAAATGTTTAATTCACAACTATGCGCCACTATTTCTGCCTTTAGATGCTAGGGGTGCTGTGCAGTGTCGGCGCATATGCGCGGGTGGTCTCGTGGCACACTGCCAGTATGGTTGATAGCATCGCGCCCCTCACTCAATCACGTTGCACCACTAAGCGGGGTCACCACAGCCAAAAGAAGCTCCAGGGAACTAGAAAAGGGGATGGGAAAATTTAGCAATGCGGAAGACACTGGCTGGCTTGTGTTCACAAGGCCTGTAGAGAACACCAAGCCGCAGTCGGACATAGACGTACTGCGCTTTATGGCAGTAGCGTGGCTTCCAGTTAAGCAAATAGATACGTGGCACAATAAATTCTATGAGAGACCCTAATGGGCAGAAGCGCGTACAACAATTCTACCCTTGCTTCTGCTCGGAACGATGAACTCTCAAACATCGGTGTCCAGTAGAACGGCAAACCTGCAAACGCTGCTAGGCACCACCATGCGCATGCTGCTGGCTTTTTGGATTAACGACTCTGGAATGGAGCCAAAACCTAGCATTTGCGGCCTCGCCCAAAGGGCATCCCATGGTTTGCCCATCCAAAGGGCCAACCCCCATCAACAATTTTAGAGCTCTCTGCACACTGCAGGTAACTCTTCAAGCACTTTACTTGTTTACACATTGTGGACGCCTAAGCCAGTTATTTGATGGTATGCTACCGGATATGAAGTCTTGGCAGCATGGAGGTTCATGGCATTAGCTCCCTTAAATGGAGCTCAGCTAATTTCCAAAAAATTCCCAGCATTCGAGCAGTATTTTTAAAAAGATTGGCGCATATATGAAAACGAACACGTGGGATCAGGAAAGGTAAGATCTAAAGGAGGACAACGCCGTCGTTTGCCCCCACACGGTGAAGTCGCACGCTGTCCATACGCAGCTGGGGGTGGGAAGCAAACTGATCCCAACCTGCGTTCGCCTCCAAATGAGTAGCCATGAGGCTCTGCAAAAGGGCTTTAAGGTCACATACGATGGGAAAGAGATGCACTCGTTTTCCTTGCGTCCTCCTGTTGTTTGCATGAAGGAACTCCATGGAAGCCACACCTCACGAATCGCTTCCAGTCATGCACGCTGTCTACTCATGGGCAGATTTTCAAGCGTTCACCACCGTAGAGCGCTTGTTGCAGGGGAGGTAAAGCGGAGGCTACTACGAGCGTGGGCCCTATGAGGCGAAGACTGTAACGGGCTAAAATGCACTTTGGCCTTCACTACGCTTTTGGCTTCTTCTACTACGCTAGACACGTGTAACTACGGGATAATAAGGAAGTGAATATCTAGCTTGGCTGCTCATATATCTTATTCACTTCAGAGAAGCTGTAACTCAATACAATCAAATGCAATGTTGTATGCATGTGCACTAGATTCCATGTGCATCTGGCTCCTGCTGTCCAAAGCTCGAAGGTGGTGCAGCAATCTGCAGCCTACCTGTCTCCCTGCCCTCATCTTGAAAACCTTCAGTGGTGAGAGAAGTGAAAGGCTGGAGTTTTCTGGGAAATGCTTGATAGATTTCAACTAAGGTTTTATTCAGTCTGGATTTGAGTGTGACCCTACGGAGATTGCACATGGCACGCCATGTCCATTATTGTTCACTCGCTGTATTAAATAAACAATTGTCGACGCTACATGCTGGTTGGTGGTATATTCTCTCTGCGGAGTATCACGGTCAGCCATGCAGTGCTACAGTTCACGTTGTGGAATTCGCCACCAATTGTAGTGTGCGACTGCGAAAACCTTTAGCCACCGGTGGCAAGAAACCACAGCTGCTTGACTCTTTGCGCTAGTCTACCCCTTGCATTGCAGAAACCTTGTGGGCTCGAGGAGCGGGGGGTAGGCAATTCGGGGATCAAATCCCTTGAAATTGCACCTCATGTTGTTGCAGGGCTAGAGGACAGAGAAGCTCCTTTGGGAAACCCCTAAAACGGGGGCGCCGGATGCCTTGCGTCAAGATTCGTTTTATTATTTTAACTACCAAGGCTTTAGCGCTTTGTCTGCGATCACCATAGGGAAAACTTTCGCCTTGGACTCAATGTCAAAACTCAATAGAAGATTCCAAGTACTTGATCCAAAGAGCTACCCCTCTTTTCCCTCAGCATGTTGGATTTCACATGGAGCTAAAGAGGTAGCTAGCATGCATGTTGCCGCACCCGTCGAGAACACTTAGGATTTGAATGCAGTTCTTCACAGTAAATTAGTAAGCACGCACACCACAGAGTATCCAGACAACCCCACTGTGAAACTAGTAGTGCATTCAAACGGACTAAGTGTGGCTTGGCCCGTTTTACTGGGGTAAGCGAGTCTAGAGGCTCACTTTGGAGATGCAGACGTCAACTGCAATGTGACCTGCTAAAATCTCGTGTATGCTGCTGGGATATTCAACATTTGAATGCAACGTAATCAAATAAACGATAGAGATAGCCACAACAGTTGCTGCTGGTTTACGAACATGGTGAGTTCCATACTATGAGCCTGTATGTTGTGTGCCTGTGCAGGAATTTACTCTGTCCACGACGATGTGAGCTTGCTTGCTTTACTCAAAGTTGCAGCCACTCGCACGTATCCTGGCTCCCCGTCCCCCTCCAGTAGGAGCTTTTTGGATTGAGCAAAGGGGCAGTTTACCAGTTTCTTTCTGGCGGGCGACCAAAAACCGTCTTTGTGCCTGATTGCACTTTCTTAAGTACGGTCTCAATTCGAGGAGCCTAGGACAGGCGCTAGAGGAAGTCTCCTTGAAGCATCTTACATGACTTGGCCGTGAGCCCTTCAGTAGACAACTGCACAACAGGACGCGTTATACCGTTAGCTCACAAGGTTAATTTGGTATGTACACGGACTAATATCTGAATTTGAAGCAGTAACTTTGATATATGGTCTTAGCAGGGTGAAGAGTGCTCATGGCAAAGAAGTACAACTGACTCGGATTCTTGTTGCGAAGCTGCTCAAACCGCGCGCCACTAGGCGTAAGATTCCAGGGTTTCATCGGAAATACGCCCTAAATGAGAAGATTTGATATAGCTTTGCCATCATTTTGTGACAAAGCGCGTTATTCAAGAGAGTTTCGTGGCTATGCAAAACAATTGGCATCGCTTCAATACAATATCTTGCGGCAATACCTGAAGCAGTACCAGCAGCAGCTTACAGACCCACAGCAGCAACTCTCGGCTGTTATTGCTGCACGTCTGTATGCGACATATTTAGGCTTATTCTCTCTGGCTTTGTTCTCGGCTACGTCGACTATGTGTTTAATCGCTGTCCCTTAACTTCAGCAGGCATTCCCTTTTTCTGTATTCCAGAAGATGGTGACGCCAGACTCCCTCACGTTGTGGGTTCTGTTGTTGCCTCCAGCACTCGGGCTATTATGGGCCTTGCAACAGAGCTGGAGGGTCTCTAGGATTCGTTTGGATGGGCCTCTCAGTAGCGAAAATAAGAGGCTTACGGACCCACTATATGTGGAAGTGGGTGTCTGCACAGTGTCCCCCCGTCCTCTGCCTCTCCCCTTCTACATTCCCTTCGCTACTCTTTGCTCGCAACAAGAAAACTCTCGATTTCATATAGGGTGTATATAGGAGGTATTCTGCTCTTCCATTTCTTCTTGAGTCTTCAGGGTCCTCAGCACGTTGTTTGGTCGCTGAGGCAGCACCGAACGTGCGTGGGGCGAACATGGTTTTCCCTCATGCTTCGCTATCTTCTCCTTCTTTCCCGGTGCCGTGTTGTTGTATTGTGCAGATAGCTGGTAGTGTACAAGAGCAGCTTGAATCGATGAAGGCCATTTCTCGCAACATTGCGGATGGGGCTGACGCTTTCCTCCTTCAAGAGTTTAGGTATATGCTCGTCTACATCATCGCCTTCTCGGTCCTCCTTTGCTTTGCCGTTGGACCCCGTAAGACCGCGCAGCGCACTGCACATTTACTTCTGTAGATTACACTTCAGGGTGACGGGTTTGAGAGTCCACGCAGCGCTGCAAGAGGTCGCGTTGCCTCTGCCGATTGCAGAGGCCCTGCTGCATCGCAGCGACCTTGCTGCCTACCTCCGTCAGTTTTGTATCCTTTTGGACACGTTTTTACCGCTGGCTGCTTGGCGTGCCTTGCGTGGCTTGCGTTTTAGTGACGATGGTGGCGTTCGTCGTGGGAGCGTTTACATCCATACTGTGTGGCTACGTTGGGATGAAGATTGCGGTGTATGCCAATGTGCGGACCTGCCACGAGTCCTGGGTGGAATTAGGGCCTGGCTTTGACACTGCGCTCAAGGCGGGAAGCGTCATGGGCTTTGCGCTTGTTTCCTTGGGCCTCTCCACGCTTGTAGGGATGGTTCTCCTCTTCCGACTCCCAGCATTGTTTGGCGATGCTCCCGACGTCCAAAGATCTTTATTTGAAGCACTAGCAGGTAGATTTGTGTGTACATACAGCTTTTCCTTCACTTGTTCGAATGTGTCCCCCCAATTTCGCCTGCGTGTTGTTTTTGTCGGTTCCACGTTCCGTTTACGGTGTCTCGTGTTTTTATATGTCGCTATCGTCCCTCTGTATGTGTGCGTACCTGCCCCCCGTATGCACCTTGGCCTCTTTGCCTCAGGATACGGTCTGGGTGGCTCGTCCATCGCGCTTTTTGCGCGTGTGGGTGGCGGCATCTACACAAAGGCTGCAGACGTAGGTGCTGACCTTTCGGGAAAGAATGAATACGGAATGTCTGAAGACGATCCACGAAACCCTGCATGCATTGCGGACAACGTTGGCGATAACGTTGGGGATGTTGCAGGCATGGGGGCGGATCTTTTTGGATCTTTTGCTGAATCGACGTGTGCGAGCTTGGTGATAGCTGGTGCATCGGTGACGCCTGTGATCACCGCTGCGGGGACTTCTGTGCCCGGTCTTGCGCAGAGTTGGGCAGGTCTCATGTTCCCGATCCTAGTTTCTTCATCTGGCATTATTACGGGTGTGTGCACAATTGCCATAGTGCGCGCCTTTTTTCCCGTGAAGGCCTACGAGGATGTGGAGAGGGCCCTGAAGGCCGTTCTCTTCGTGAGCACCGGGATACAGACGCCATTCACGATTCTGGTAGCTTATTACTTTCTTCCATCCCAGTTTGCATTGGAAGCTGGTGGGGGCCCTATGCTGGTGCAGTGGTGGAAAGCTCTGTTGAGCGTCCTCTTGGGCCTATGGTCCGGATTGATCATCGGCTATGTAACCGAGTACTACACGTCGCACACTTACAACCCTGTGCGGGAGATCGCACGAACACAGAGGCTGTCGGCTGCCACAGGGATCATTTATGGGCTTTCGCTTGGATACTTATCGACCATCATTCCAATCGCGTGTCTTTCCCTCACGGTCTGTGTGGCGCACACGCTTTGCGGGATGTACGGAATAGCCTTGGCGGCAGTTGGGATGCTCTCGACGCTGACTGTGTGCCTCATGATTGACGCGTACGGGCCCATCAGCGACAATGCTGGTGGCATTGCGGAGATGGCGGGGCTAGGTCCAGACGTCAGGAGCAGAACGGATGCTCTGGACGCTGCGGGCAACACGACTGCGGCTGTCGGCAAGGTACGGATGCGCCAGGTGTTCTTAAATACATTCCGGGCAGTTTACTCTGGAGGTAAATGGCTTGCTCGAATGATCGTACGCGTGTGCGTGGAGTTACGGGAAGACGCCGTATAGACAGCTCTGTAGGTGCCTGTTGGTCGCGAGCTACATTTTCCGCCATCCTGAGTGCGCCACCGCCCCCTTTCTGTGTCTTTTGCGGTGTCATTGCTTCCTGCACCTTCAGGGATACGCGATAGGTTCTGCTGCTCTTGTTTCTCTCGCCCTTTTCGGAGCCTACACTGTTAGGGCGGATATAACAGCAGTGGACGTTCTCGAGCCATGGACGTTCACTGGCCTGCTGATGGGTGCCATGCTGCCATACGCCTTTAGCGCGATGACGATGAAGAGTGTGGGTAAAGCGGCAAACGATATGGTAGCGGAGTGTATGAGTCAGTTCCCGCACATCATGGAGGGCACAATGGAACCCCAGTACAAACGGTGCATCGAAATATCCACAAAGGCCTCTTTGCACGAGATGATCGCTCCCGGAGCTTTAGTCATACTTTCCCCGATCGTCGCTGGCATGGCTTTTGGCAAGAATTGCACTGCCGGATTGCTGGCAGGGGCCCTGGTCTCCGGCATTCAGCTTGCCATTTCAATGTCCAACTCTGGAGGAGCATGGGATAATGCAAAAAAGTATATTGAGGTATGGCGCTGCAGATGCAAATAGCGAGGAAACTTTAGGAAACAAATATAGCTTCTATGCGTAAGCCAGTGAAATTAGTGCAGCTGATGGGAAGGCACGGTGGTTGTGTGGATGCACTTGGAGTGCACGGAGGAGGATGTAGCATACAGTCGAACTGAACAACCGTTGATCGGCCGCGGACCTAAATGTGTCGTAGGCTAGGGTTTTAAAATGAAGTGCTGTTTCCTGGAGTGGGCTCTGATAGGGAAGCAGACTCGTAGGAAGAAGAGGATGCTTCATCGTTTGTGGAGTTTATGAGCGTTTCTTTGTATTCAGCTTCTGAGGGCCCTACAACCCCAGAGAGTACCTCGCTAGGCGATTCGTTGCTGCTTCTGCGTTTCTTTTTTTCTGTTCAGTCTGGTGCTCTAGGCCCTCAAGATTCTAAGGGCTCTGCCACGCATAAAAATGCTGTAACAGGCGATACCGTAGGCGACCCGCTGAAGGACACGAGCGGGCCTTCCTTGAATATTTTGGTAAAATTGAGTGCGATTATCTCGCTCGTTTTTGGATCCTTCGTTGCCACACACTTTTCAAATGCCACGGGAGGACCTATCTGGCTCTGAGGCCTTATAACCAAGATGCAGCTAACCGCCGGCGTTCTTGACGAATGGTGGTTAAATCTAACACATTGCGACAGAGATCGCGCAAAACTGTCCAGCAATTTAGGAAGGCACTTCCGGATAGTTTGCTGGACTGTTCACCCCAGCGGACCAATGTGTGATCTCTTGCCCTCGGCAGAGTGCAGCGGCACAACACCGCCTTATTTCTATTATAAGCAATTGTCCGTCGCCATCACAGATGCGCTGAAGAAAGTGGCCATCAGCTTTCCACAAATGTGGCGACTTTGTGGCCGCAGCGCCACCAGCAAGCCCCTGGGTACTCCACGACAGGGCACACAGTACAACAGTCTACGTACAACCTGGGAAAACGCGAAGTGGTCGCGGCCTTCCGGATGCTAGGGATTACGGCTTCTGCTACAGCCAAGCCGCTAGCTAGGCCAGTGGTCAAGCAGTGCTTGGGCGGCTAGCTACTGGCCATCTGGTGGTGAAAGGTCTCTCTGGTTCCTCAGTGTAAAAGTATGTACAGAACAAAGGGGCTTGGTTTTCGTTGGTGGCGAGTGCAAGAGTTGTGGCGTCCCGGCGAATCTGCTGCTCTGTGTGTCTGTTTCTGCTTTCTTCCATTTCTAATCGGCTGTGCAGAGCGCCTTGCTGGCTTGAAATGAAAGAGCCCCGTGGGCGTTCCTTTGAAACTTGACCGGCTTTCACTTTTCGCCTTCTTTCTTCGCGGTCTCTCTGCCCGGAACCACCTATGAGCTGTCTATGCGCCGCAGCAAACGAACTGCCGGTGCCCCTCCATTTTTTCTGGCCTGTAGTGTTGGCACCTTGTTGGCTGTTGCAATTGAAGAGCCTGACCTTTTCCCTGTGAGGGCGCCTGCTCTCTGCCCCTACCTTTGCGATCTTTCCTCGGAAGGTATCCTGTTGTGGGCAGGGGTGTCCTGGCTTGGTTTGGCCTATCTGCTGATGGGACTGGCGCTGCATCGAGAGCGGCATTCCTGGGGGCTGACTTGTTTATACAGTTTCTTTATCGGGACGAGAATCTCTTGGACGTCCACGCACCCTACGGTTGTTGCATCTGGTTGTCGGACCGGCGGTGGTGCGGGAGTTGCCGCCTTCGTAGTGCTACAATCAGATGCACTACAGAAGGCTAATTGCCTACGAAAGGCGAAATGGAAATAAATGCGACTCGGAAAATTCCATATAGCGGTCATAAAGGCATGGGTGAACGCCCGGCTGTACTCTAGCCATCGCTGCGTGCGTGTTCGCTCCGATGCTTAGCATGAAGCAACCGCCACCAGGGAAGGATGAGGGAAGTGCGTTAAGAGAAATATTGAGCGAAACAACCCCTCTGAGCGATACGGAGGTTGCAATACCGTTAGCGCCTCCGCCGCACTCGCCCTTGAATGAGATATGCCATTCATTTAACAATCGCGTGCATTCTTACTCCTCATCCGTCTCGAAACATGTTCGCGACAATGAGGGGGCTCTTTAGCGGGTCGATCCCCCAACTCTGGACTCCATGGGAGGCCGCGAGTTGCGCAATGCGCCGTTGGATTATAGGCGATGAAGTGAAATGGGGGAACACGCATATACGTAGCCAATTGCCAATGCCTACAAAGAGACGAAACAAAACCGAGAAGCTGGAGTATTAAACAGACGACTATACAGGGTAGGGCCTAGACAGTAAATCTCTGGGAGAACGGCTAAAATTGACCGTTTATTTGATCTAGTGGATTACAGACACATCTTAAAGAAGTGCCCTTTTACGTTTTTCTGATTCCGTCATGGGAGACGCCCCCGCATCTCCTCCTCCCGCTTGTAGCTGCTTTGCCTCGTCGTGCTGTCTCGCGGTCCACGTGCGGATAAAGCTTTGGACCTCATGGAGAGAAAACCCTAGACACGAAGCGCGAAGAAAAGCGCAGAAAAGCAGTATCGCGAAAACGGCCCACTTGAGCAATGCCGACCCTTATTCCGCGGTGAAACACCCCATTCCGATACGATGTGAAAAAAAGGAGCAATAGAAAGCGAGAAAATAGAGCTGCAGACAAAATGGAACTTCCATCACGCCAGCAAGCAAAACTAAAAACATATCTCCGCGCATACGGAGTGAGTGAGTCTAGATGCATATTTAGAGGCGGCGAGCGACCAATTAAACACATTGCAGCACATATTTAATCGCTCAACCAGGGCGGATACAAGGGACATGACATCTCAGAACACTTGATGCGCAGCCAGGGAACTCTTTTGTTGTAAGGCTCTACCTGTTCACATTCTCGCTTGCATCCCGTCTGAGAACAACTGGGAAGGGAACCAATAGGGGGATGGGTGTCTAGGCATACCCGCAATACAGATATCCTCTCCAACGCTGGACTTATTGAGTCTTGGTTGCTGTGAAACTGGTTGCTGTGATTTTCGGTGTCCTCCGTCCCCTTTTTCTTGCTGTGTGCTGCTGCTGCTGCCGTCGCTGCTGCTGCTGCTGGTGCTGCTGTTGCTGCCCTTCTCTTCCCTACAGGGCTGCCGCCTCTCTGCCATATTATGAGGGCCAGGTGCGCTACCAGCAGATCTGAAGAAGTCAACAAGATATCCCTCGAAGAGCTCGCGGGTGTCGGAGAAGCGTAGAGTGCCCTCTAGGCGATACAGAGAATGCAGGAATTCCAGCTGCAGTAGCAAATCGTAACCAAAAAGAACATCCTTTTGGTGAATATCCATAGAGAGCTAACAGCTCCCTGTAGAGGCTACAAGCGTCAGTATGTCGTCGACCCCCTCAAGCCATGGAGAAACAACTCCTTCCGACACACAAACGATGTTCTGCATGATGGTTCTAACGTCAGTCACCATCGTCCCTAGCACGCTACCTGGATACCTAGGTGACAAGCTTTGTCTGTTTGCAAATGGGAGAGAACTGACACAAGAATCTGTGTGGGCTTCCTCGGTCTGGATTAGGCGCTCCTCTGCTTGCTGCAGCAGCTCGAGCTCCTTGAGGGCCGCGCATTGCGCTGCACAGCGTTTGCGAAAAGCAGCTCAACGAACAGAATGAAGGAAACAATAAACAATAGGGGTGGGGTACAAAAGGAGGAACACACAGCTTACGCCTGACTTTGCAAAGGCATCTGCTACTTTCGCGAGGGTCCTCCAGTGTAGGTACACTTGGAGAGTGAGGAACAAAGCATTCGAAGAGCAGGCGTTGCACTGGAACGCCGTTGACGTACTGCCAATGCTCAGAAGCCACGCTTCCGCTTCACTTTGCGACTGGGCCTGAACAAATAGGACGGCAAAGGTCACGAGATCCTAAGGACTTTGCCATCTGCCTATCTCCCTAAGTGCAGTGCGGCAAGCGCCGGCAAGAAATCTGAAATCCTTACGCGCCAGTAGTACGATCTGCTGGCTGTCTGTACAAGGAAGACCTTGCCATCTTGGGGGGATCGCATCAGCTGAGAAGGTTACAAGCACAGCAGCACAGCTTTGCAGCGAAGATGTGCTGGAGGACCGAGCCTCCACAGATGCATGCGCCTTCTGCCTTCATGAGCGCACAGCTCAGCCGAAAAAAACACGGAGCAGTTCCACTCCCCACTATCACCTAAGGTACGAACTGCCCCGAAAACTGAGCTGCATGGACGCGTAGCCCACCGACAGAGAACGAGCATAGATATTGGACAGACGCTTCAGCCTGCCCTATTGCTGGAAGCCACACGTCGAGTCAGCTAGCCACAGCTAGCGTCCAGCCACTAGAGACGCACTCCTAGGAGGAACGTGCTACCTCGAGTTCGCTGGGCATCATGACTCGCGCCGAGGGAACAACGCCACGCACCTGTACACAGGTCGAGAGGGGAATGCAAGTCCACCGGCTACCAGATGGTATTGTTGCGTCCTGCAAAGGCAACCAGGATATGCCCCCGCGCATGGCCATACACACCGATCTCGAGCGGCTTCTGCGGTTAAGAACTGGCTACCTGAAGAATTGCGGAAGCGTCGCAATACAAAGCAGGCGAAACGCAGAAGCACCGCTTGCTAACGACCTACTTTGCTGCCGGAAGCTCTTGAGGCTGCTGCTGCTCCTCCTCCTGCAGCCGCTGCACTTGCTCCCCCTGCAGCGCCTTTAGAGTACCAAAAGGCATCCGCGTGTAATGCGCAACGCCTCACCTTCCAAGACGAGGCATCCTGAGAAAGAACGGCAGAAAGCACAGGCAGAGCAAGCCAAGAGTCTGCAGGAAATGCTGCGTGCATAGCATCACCATCCCTACAAATCCCAGACGCAGGGGTAGCGCACATATGCAACAAGAGTCTGCAGGTCTTCCGAACAGAGAGCGCCTAGCACACGCCATAACAAAGCTTGTTTGAAAACCCCAGACCATTACCTTTGTCGCTTTCTCGAGGACTCCCGAATGGATAGCCTGCATCAAGCCGTCGCAAGAAGAGCGTTGAAGCGTATTGGGGGGCGTTGTGTAGTTGCAAGCTAGACAGAGGACTCTTCCTGTTTCCTCGCCTCACCCCGCAGTCATTGCGTAGCAGGTTAATGGCCTCTTCTGCATCGCCGTCTTTGGCGTCCGCTGTAGCTAAGAAAGCTGAAGAGGAGCTCAACGTCCTAACGGCAGGATCTGCCGTCTGGAACTCCCAGACAGTGCCAGCCTCACCGCCTCCGCTGCCTTGCGCTCCGCAGTTTTCTTCTCTGACTGTGGCTGCGTCAGGATGAGACGCAGCAGTCTCTCCGCCAGGGCTACTGCTGCTCATTGCACTAGAGAGGAGCCACCGTTGTCAGAGTGAGAATCGAGAGGGAGTATGGACGGGATTTCTTTGGGGAAAAGTCCCCGGTGCAGTGCATGGCAACATAAAGGCAGTGATACAGAGCTAATACGGGGCTGTAGGCAAAAACGGAAGGTGAGAGAGACCCTAATTAAGAAGACGGATTGCAATTTGCACAGGCAACCGCGTCCCAAGGAGCTAGCACGTCAAAATGGGCGGAGCAGGAGGAGGCAGGAGGCGGAATACAACAGCAACAAACGAGTGATTGGGCACTTTCAACCAGATTTTAGGAACTGGTTCGAGGGCATATTAGATGCACGGACACCGCACAGTCCGTGGGCCTACTACCACGTACAGGAATGTGGACACGAAAATACAGGTGAGAATTTTAAAAAAGGAAGAGGCCCATAGGGCATGCCTTGATGGAGTAAATTTCAGCAAGGGAACTACAGAGGATAACAAATAGAGGCTCATATGTTCTTCAGCGTAATGCTCATCCAGCGAGGAACCATTTTGCTGTGACCACTTTGACAGGGGGCCTAGGGGGCCCCCTGACCGTTAGGCCCCTTTCCTTGTTTGGGCCATGACAGGACTAGATTCTTCTCGGTGTTGTATTTTACAATCCCATTGTTATATTCGTATACACTAGGAACTTTAGAGGCACTGTGCTCATTACACTCACCAATTTCAAGCTTTAAACAACAAGCGAGCCGGAAGTTACGATATAAAGGCTATCCAGAAAAAACCCAGAGACTTGCCTGAACCCCCTATGAATAACTCGTATCTGACAGCCTCTGCCTCTCGTCTTTGCTATGAAGGCTCCACTGATCTTCACTGATGGAACCCAGTAAGAAGCCAACGGAGCACACGTCTCTGTGTAGGCAGTAACAGCACTTTTTCCTTTTAATAAAAATGAAAAAAAAACTGTAACTTGGCGAGGTGGAAGCAAAACGCTCTTTCGAACGACGCCCGCGAAAAACAATTCTTCCCTGGGTAGTTTTGTGTCTGGGGTGGAGCAACAATGTGGCCCACCGCTGCCTCATATATAGGTAGTGTTGCATTGCCAGGGCCGGCGTATAGGATCGTTCGGGCGGCCCAGATGTTCTTTCCGTCTGTTGCGCTCCAGAAAATGGCAATAGGAAGAGGCCTGCGGGGCCCTTCTGCACCGATGTGGCTTTGTCAAGCATACGGCTTCAATGAAATACTGTGCACTACACAAGCAACCAGCTGCTGAACTGAAGACGATAGACATCCCAGTATGATGCGGCCGTGCCATGCACAGAGCGGTGCCTGGCACCTCCATTCTTGGTATGACGCGTGACTGGCATGAGGAGCACAGTCGCTGTAATGGAGCATAGAGCCTTCACATTCGGGCCCTAACTCCTTTAGATAATGAAAAAGCGCTCAAATGGCTCGGGTCATCTCCATTCTCTTAGGAGCACAGCAGATAAGATGAAGGTGTATTATTAGTGCTTGCACTCAAGGCACTACTGTGTACCTGTTCCCGATTCATGCTTTTGAATAGGACGGAGGCTTTTGTCACCGGTAGGGCTTTTTGCATTCTCTGAAAGATTCAGCGGTCCAGGGACATGCAGAGCCTTTGCTACGGCCTTGTATAACAAGGATGGGCCTTCTGCGTCCTGCCTGAAAGACTTGGTAAGCTGCTGCCCTTGTACGGCTTCCTTGAGCATTTGGTGCTCTTCTTCCGCCTCTTCGTCGGAAGCTGTCGAAGAGGCACTCACTTGCATTGCGGTGGAACTGGGCTGCGGGAAGACGGCCTGGCCGTTCTTGTAGAGTAGGACATCTGCGGAAACTGCAACTCTCTCGATCGCCATTTCATTAATCCCTCTAACGACTCGGGCGTACCCACCCTCTCCCCATGTGGGCCCCCATGAGTTTCGGATCTTCCAGTAAGGGAGCCACGCATCGCCTTCTTTCGCCCAACCCCACCCAACGATGACCACTGCGTGATCCACCTGCGCACCACCAAGAGGAAGAATCGGCAGGTGGGGGAGCTAGGGGACTAACGGGAAACAACAAGTGAAAGACGACACCAAAGATGCAGGCATAATGATAGAGACGGAGAGGAAGTAAGCAAAAGAGGCTCCGAAGGGGAGATAGGACAAGAGAGGAGAAACCCTTGAACCAGGGTGGGCTGACCAACACTACCGTTATAAGGAGAAAACGAAAAACAGGGTGAAAATAAATGCGCTCAATGCATGATTGTGCTACAATGGCAGAGGCATCATTGCTGCGAGCCTCCCGCATACCTTCTCCCAGCTCCAGTTCTCTCCTTCTTGTACAATTGAATCGTACGGCGACTGGAAAACACCTTGGCTGTACGATGTGAAGTCAGCTAGCAAACAAACCCACAGAAAAAAGTTTCTCGCGAAGACTTGAATTGCTGCTGACAAACTCAAGGGCTCTCCGCGCTAGCCCTCTTTACCTGGATGCTCGTGATGAGTGACGCAAGGGGCAAAGAAGGAATACAGAAGAAGGGGCGTGTTTGCGTGGTTACACCAATGTTATATAATTGGGACTGAGAAAAGTGCAGCAGACCTGAGGGTTCAATCGACACCGCAAGAGGCCCCCTCTCCCAGAGTTCTCTTTGCATTTCCTCGGCAGAGCAAGACCCAAAAGTACCGCCGACGTAATGCCAATTAGAAACCCTGACTTCGATGGAACATGCATCGGGCAGACGGTTTCGTGGAGGAGGCGCTGCACAATTGTACACTGCGGTCCCCAACTGGCCTCCAAGGTCGTGGCACTGCTGAAACTTTGGGGGAAAGTGCTGCATGAAATCCGGCTGGGAAGAACAACGTGTGTAAAGCACAAAGGCAGTGGAATAAGTGGAGAATATGTGCATACATGCGAAACAGCCACACGGGAGCGCAAAAAGATGGACACCGAAAGAGCCACGGGGCACATCTCCGAAAGCAGGTACTCTGCTCTGCCATGATATCACACATTGCGTCTACCGAATGAAACAGGCGCCGCCAGCTAGATGCGGGCATGCATTTGGCTGCACAGGGGATGCTGCTGCGTGCTTGCCTGATTCATAGACTTCTCGTAATAATCAACACATTCCTTAGTTCTAAATGCATGTTCATGGCCAAATTTAAGGGCTAAGTATACATAGCCTCCGGCGCACCCCTGATTGTACACATTGCAAGCAGTGCCCTGGGGAGGACACCACCACACACAGAGATGAGGCAGACCCGTTTCCTTCTCAGCGGTATCTTTCTGAAATCCCCTAGCCCCGCGCGAAAAAACGGTTTTACAGTGTTGGGGAGCAGGGGCGAACCTGCAAGGCGCTAACATGAACTTTGCCAAAAATATCATCGTTATTTGAGTACCGAATCCATAGCCTGAGGAAGCCTCAACACGGGACACAAGTACTGGCCACCCCTGCAGCTAGTGGGAGCTTCTTTGATATGAAAAGACACTGAAGGTGGCTTCCGCGAAAACCTTTCTTTTCCCCTATTTTCTGTGCTCTCTGCTTCTTTTCTGCTAGCCACTGCCTTTCTATCGAATTTTTGTCTCTCATAGCTCCTGACTGTTGCCTACAGACCTGGATGTCAAGATGGTGCTGGTGGTGATTGCGTAACAGGAGCCGCAATCGCCTTGATTGGGAGCATCCGGTACCACGTTCTGTCTACGGCCGAGCTGAATCGCCGAGGCAGAAACACAATTTTAGGAACATTTAAATCAAAGATAGCACAGCGAAGAGGGCATGCAGCAAGGACCTCCGCGCAGTCTGCGTGATGAACGCGCGGAGGCATCTCTGGCCGGGTGTGCAACGGAGGACATAAGGAGAGAACAAGCGGCTCAAGCGCTTACTAGAGACAACGCAACAACCATTTGCCTTACTCGCATGAATACATGGTCAGGGTTTGTCCAGTCGAATTCCATGATGCCTTTCCAAATGGGTTCGTCTGCGGACGACCCTGGAGGTCCCACAGGTACTGAGGGGCGTGAAAAGGCACTAAGCACAGCCAGGTAGGCGGAAGGTTCGATTAATGGCTTTAGACGGGGGGCTCCTGGTTCCTCGTTGAGCTCGTCGAGCGTTCGTAGCTGCTTGCCGTTTAGCACCACGTAGTCCTCATCGGTTGGCTCCCAAGACTTCTTACCTTAGCGCAACAAGAAAGGTGAGGAAGAACGATTGAATACGACCACAGACGAACGCAAAACTATGCTGCTGCGCACGCGTTCCAGCTCACAATTCAGACTGTAACGCCTGCAGCGACACGGAGACCGCGTCTCGACAGCAATTCTTCGGCGTAGGTGGGGAGGGCGAACGGCGATGGAGCAAAAGAGCAAAGGATTGTGGTGAACGCACCATGCAAGATGGAGTGTATCCGCGAACGAACAGTGACTCGAGAAATCTCAGGATCTTTTCTGTGGGGCAAATTCGGCAGCTCGATTGGGCTCTTTCTCACGGCTGGCACAATATTTGTGGGGCGAGAGAGATCCTCTCCAATCTTTGTCGCCCACCAGCAGGTCCGTCGTGGGATTCCAGAGCTTTTGCGAGATTCGTCGCTATCAAGGCTTTCAAGCGGTGATAAAAGCGACGCAATATCCGCCACGGAAGGAAACTCTGAAACGGTATGTTTGGTGGCACGCAACAGGCAATCAGCTAGCTGTCATGGAGTAGGTAGGCCACCCACATGCACAAGCCCCAAGCCGCTTCTTAACAACAGGCAAGCTGCTTATACAGCACTATATCAACGCGCCTTTGTGAACCTACTGTGCTGAGAAGGCACACGGAGCTGCCGCCTAACGCGTGGCTAGCGCCTTGCTCTCAGTCGTACCATAGGTTGGAGGGAAATTGCCCATAAGGGTCTCTGGTGCTTCCTGGTAAGGTACATGCTCAACCCACCCGACCATGAGGGTGTGACAAAAGCTCAACGCGGTATTCGATCCCTTAGGGCCAAATTGATACTTGAAAAAAGAAAAGAGACGTATTCTCTTCGGCGCAGTTACCTCCACGTGTAGCCCCTCGTCGTAAACCATCGTCCAGTACCCGGAGGAGCCGTCATCGAACTCCGCAGTAAAATCAGCTCGCAGCGTTAAAACAGAAACTCGAGACTCCCTAAAGGTCGAGGAGATGTTTGGCGGAGTCAGAGTGTCTGAGAGAAAAGCAGCGATTTAAAGAAACAGAAGGAAAGTACGCACACACACGACGAACCAAATGAACAAACATTCTTTCTCCTGATGTATATGGCGCTGATACACTTTGTTTTCCCCAAGTACATGTGGATACAACCAGTCATCAGAACTCCCAAAAACACAAATATTCGCGAGGGGACAAGGGTGTTCTAGGGACCAGGCCCTGTTGTTTTTCTCCTCTGAACATCCCGTGACACTGGGCTTTCAGTGTATTAAGCCAATGCCGACTATTAGAGGCTTACGCGTGAACGTTTTTGTCAATGCACCGTGTTTTGGTGTTGCCTACCATGCGTGCCGAGTTCGTCTGGAGTGACGTGTCCACAAGTTGGGTCGTGGAGTTCCTTAAATTCTCCCTCGGTGTGTTGGCAGGGCTGCCACAGGCCCTCGTGAACTTCCCACTTGCCCACTACGTGCTTGGCAAGGCAGTGGGGAGGGAGATCGGCAGTTGCCCAAGGGAGTCGAACCAGGAACAGAGCTACGCCCAATGTCAAGACTTGCAAGGAGCCTCCAAGCAGAGTCACCAGACTGCTGCAAAAAGCGGTGGAACCGCTTATGGCGGCGGCAAAACATTGCATCTTCAAACAGTAGCTAGGGACGGCCTTGGGGGTCCATCGGGTGCAGGAGCCGGCAACCGCTGGCGGTACACTGAGGAACCAGCCAAATCCTCCGATTTATATGATAATCATTATTTTCATGGCCCCTATTTTGTGGTTTCAAAGGTAAGAATATGAAGAAGACAGGCCGTCTGAGACCGGTAACCTTCGCTTGCCTTGAGTGCCTCACGGTTGGGCGTTGGGCGGTGAAGTGTCGGCGGACGGAGGCGTCTGCTACATGCAGGTAGATCGCCTTTTAAATATGACACAGTCTTCCCCCAAACCGTACGCCAGGAGGCGTCACGAGGCACAGAAGGCGAGGTCAGTTCATATAGCGGCAAGGTCGTACCGTGCATGCTGGCCTTCGGCAGGGGACCATCGGGGACCGACCGCAACTGGATTAAGAGTGAAAGAATGGAGTATTGAATATTATTCCTTGTTGAATTTCAAAAGTATACAGTGCTATAATAAACAGCGAATTGGTGCGTTCACTCCTTTTCCCTTGTATCAAACTTGTAGAACATGACATGACAGCTGTATGGTATAAAAGGAGACCATGCTGAGTACGCACTCAGTTCTTGTAGTGAATCCCGTGCGTACAACATGCTCTTGCCTTCTGAACAATTGATTTTGATCCTAGGTAGCTAGTAAGCGCTCTCGAATAGATATTTAAGCCCGGTATTGATGCGCTCCTCATGGGCGGTGTTACGTGCAATTTATGCAGACGTGCTCTTCTGGTAGACTGAAGCCCAATCGACAAGATATACTGCACACATGGAGAAGCCCATAAGCTGGCTTACTGCTTAGAAGCTAGTATTTTGTGTTCGAGGCCGCTCCACGCGGACCTGGGGCTCAGCTAAGGAATGTCGATGCGGCCAGCTGAACATTTTCAAGAATGTCCCGAGTTCAGATCTTCATATTTCCATTTCTGATCATGTCACACCTAGTAGCAAATCATCAAGCGAATCATTTGTCTTTTGGCTCTATTTGGAAGTTGTAAATTAAGGAAATATGGAGAAGGGAAAGCCCCAGATGCGTAACATGCGGCACTACACAGTGTGCAAGGTGTTGTTCATATCCAAACATCCGCCTGCAAAACTCCTTAAGGCAGTAGTTTTTAAAACTCTACTTGACATGGCGTTGATCGGTACAGATGCCGAGCTATATTCAACAGTGTCGAAAAAATTAAAAGCCTCCTACCAATACAGGAATTTTGCACAAGGGTACGAAATACCTTGCGACACGACAGTGTCTAAGTGGATTTGTGAGTGAGAAGATTTGATCCTTTATGAATAAATATGTACCTACATCTACTCGCTTTCCGTTTCTCAAGTAAGCACCGTCAATATGAAGGAATTATTTCTAAAAGAAAAGTCAGATGCTTCATAGTTCAAGTGAGTACGGGCATGCAAAAACCATAAATATTTAGAGTTTTTATGCATCTCAGGGTTTGTGGTGCACCTTCGACTGAAACTTTGTGTTCGATGCCCCAGGAATCGACTAGCTGACTATGCTGAGCATAATGATAGCCTGAGTATGCACCTAGAAGGCCACCAAAACACAAGGATAACTGGCCTACTAACACCTCCCTCTGGGCAGCTTAGTCCGGTATACCTGGCTAGCAGACTCCTAACTCGCAAAGAAAAACAGTTTAAACAAGCAGCAGCTCTAAGGGCTGTAAGCGAGGAAAACAAAATGTATCAGTATTCCGGCTTCAGATACTTACATCAGTAATGCCAAAGCAGCAGCAGAAAATGCTTGAAGGCCTACTGTACAGAGTAGCTGTTGAGTAAAGTAGCTCAGCCTAGAAACCCACACAGTGCTCCCATGAGCATGTACGCTGCAGGGGTATGAGTGCGCGAAGAGTCATTAGACAGCCCCTAATCTGGTGTTGGGAGTGCGCAGCGCTGTCTTAGAAAGTTGGCTAGTCGTGAAATAGGGAGCTGCACTTGGCCGGCGGAGTTCCTCCAGCGAAGTTTAACGGCCATGGAGTGCAGGGACGCCGAGTCTACACTGATGCAAAAGGGAACCCCCAATTCATCCGACTTCCTGTACCTGAAGGAATACAGGGAAGCAGTAGTACAATACACACTCTCAGCAGCAGTGGTGTAGAACGGATGCACAAAATGAATGTTGTTTAGGCAACGCTTCTAGGAGATAAAAGACACTGCCTGACTAGCGTAGGCGGTAGGCCAGTAGGTGAATAGCTTTGAAGAGGCATATTAAAAGCAGAGAAAACGACCCAGAAACAGAATAAAAAGAAGGATTATAGAGTTACCTCCGCCCAAGAGACCCTGTATCGTCAAAAAGAACCGAAAAGTGCCTTCTCAGTTTATGGTGGATGCTTCGACCTGCAGAGACGCCACACATCCCTTTCCGAAAACCAGCATTTTACCCCTGAATTGAATGTGCGTAAATGGAAAACTCGTTTTAAAATGTGAGAGCAATGCAGGCTTTCTTATGGATGCTCTCGTGAGTCCCTGCGTTTCTGGGATTCCATTAGGTGCCTTTGGACCATAAACTGAGCATTACGGATATTCTGGAGCTCATGAGGGCGCCGTGGACTCTATCCCGGTTGCTAGCATGCATACAGAATATACATACGCGTCAACGGTGAGTGGCATCCCCATAGAGTTAGCAATGTAGAAGCACGGGACTTCCACCCATTCAGCCTTGCCCACAGCTATTCTCTTGTTGCTTTATGAATAGAGCAAGCGGTAGTGACCCTTAACCTCTATGTGTTCCACTGTGTTCAGTACACCACTTTTAGTCCGTAGGCTCTCAATAATCAGATATCTTCCGCAGGGTTCTTCATGAATGTCCTATCGTCGAGCCTACCAAGGGCCTGGACTAGTTGATTCGTGGCGACAATGGGAAATATTGCAGCCTTGTACGGAGCCTGCAGAGGATCCAAACACGACAGAAGCAAATAAAGAAGAGAGGTAAAGGGCAGCATGCTGGGGTCCCGCCAGACAACACCGAATAGGCGTCCGAGCGCGTACCCTTCGGGGTATTTCACGCTTCGAGACTCATGGAACACGAAATCTGCAACAGACGTGCCTCCGCAGAGATACCAGAAAATGCATGAGAAGGCTGCCATGTACGCACGCCTTTCCATATGAAGTTGTCCGTTTTTGTACGAGGCGGGTATACACCCCGTGTGTGGACCTTTGCACACTCACGATTGCGGGGTGCAGGTTCAAAAAAAAGCGTTTTCTGCCTAACACGAGATCTTCTGTCATCGCGGAGTGAAGTGTTGCAAACAGCAACCTGCAGGGAAGCATCACGTAGACGTAACCTTACAAACAAGGACACCGAATAATGGGGGCGAAGAGGGCCTCTCCAGTGCGCCTCCTTGTGTTCGGTGTATGGACGGGGGAGACACAAGTACGGCCAAAAGGAGATAGAATCGAGACCGCAGCAAGAAGAAGGAAACAAAAATCCGTGTTTCTTGCCTTTCGATGCCTATGGAGGTCTCAATGACGTGAGGCAGCACCTTCTCTGTGGAAAGCTTATTCTTGGTTCCTGGGGTGTAGATATCCTGCAAAAGCTCCAAGCTCTTGCCGGACGCCTGCGTAGCGATGCGCATGTCTAGACGGACCATAGCGTTAAACCAATGCCCTGGAGCCAGCAGAAGTTAGCCCTTCCCGTAGCCTCTTCGCCACTGACCACGACTAGAAGCACCTTTACATGCCCCCCACCACCAACCATGCCAACGCAGCAAAGCATCAGGCCCACTACTTGCATCCCCTTCAACTTTGGCACAACATAAAAGGCACTTCCAAGTTCAAACGCAAACGTCTAAAAACACAGGCATACACGTTTGGTTTGCCTATTTCTTCCTTCCTAGGCGGGGCAGCCTCTTTGAGAGCTCTCCAGGGGCTCTGCAGCTGACCGTTTGGTGTCTCCGCAGATCATAGTCTCCTCTAAGTGCCAAGCCACAAAGCTCTTTGGGCGACTCGAAAACTGTCTCTCTGCACCGCCCTTCTGCAAACGAGGCATCTCTCCCCCGAGTGCGCATCAGGTAAGAGATATCAATGCACCGCGAGGCGTAATGCGGCAGGGAACTCTGGGGTGTCTCATCGGCTCGCAGACAATCGGAGGGAATTCCTAAGAGACAGAAAAAGGAACCAAGCACACAAGCACACGGTAACATACACAGACACGCACTAAACCATTAACCCACACCGACACGCACTAACATATCAACAAACACGCACTTCGAGACACAGACACACACTTACACACCTAAATACACACACACACACACATATCAACACATACATTAACAAATACACACATTGAGGCGCACACACTAATTCGCACATATTAAAACACACACACACACACATTAACAAACATACACAAGCACACATTCATACACATGTATCAAAACACATTGAGACGCATGCACTAGCACACACACGCACACACACACACACACACACACACACACACACACACACACACACACACACACACTCAAACACACACACACACACACACACACAGACACACACACAAACACACATACACACACACATAAACTCATTTCACACGTCCACAATAACACATACACCACGCTTACACATTTCGGCTGACGAAGAAGAGAAGAGAGAGCACAAAAAAGGTGTATCGCTGTCGCATACAAACAGGATAGGACGACCAAAAGCACACAGCAGCAACGCCACAGTGCGATAGGC